CTGACTATATACAAATTGTAAATGGTCAAAAACGTAGTCCACGTCTCAATTAGACATGTAAACAATTCTTTACCCAGCTAGATAACATTAAAAATGTAAAAGGAATAAAAAAATTTTAAGGATGAAATCAAAGTCGTAAATGGACAAAATAAACAAAGTCCATATATATCAACAAACTCGATATATCTTGTGACACAAAATAATAATACTTCAGGTCTTTAATATAAAAATTTATTTGACTTTTATTTCGGTCTTAATTATAAGACCTAAATTCACTTTTTCTCTCATATTATTCATTTTTTTAAGATAATCCTTCTAATAATGATAGTTCTAGCCAATAAACTTGATTAGTGGAGATATTTTAGAAAAGACAATACATATTTATTATAAATAACTAACTTAACTTATTTTCTTAATATACTCAAATTAATCCACTAACTCTTATATTTAAGACAGGAGGTAGTATCAAATTGTAAAAGTAAGTAAAAATTTTTAAGATAAAATCAACATAATATTAATTGTATATACATGCACAAGTCCACGTAAGTTAGCTGCATCTCGGGGCGGGTGAACAATTCTCGTTGTTTAGAAGCCGATTACTATAAGTAAGTTGGTTGTCTTCTTCCTCAATCTCCACTTAGATCCTATAGTAAAAAACACAGGAGGAATATTTCTATGGAGGAGAAAAAGATGATCGACTATCGCAGCCAGAAGCTACATATTAAGATATCTACATTTCTAAAATTCATGGTGTTTGTAAGTATTTCATTGTCTCTCTTGATTTTTGTTCGTGGTGATAATTCGCTGTTAATTAGTTTTCTCGTTTTTTCCCCCCGGGAATATAGCATAAGTTTTCACTAAAAGAAGGATCTAATTTCTCTAAATTTTGTGTTTATGAATTGTTTGGTGAAGTTGGAGTAGTTCTTCTTGTTATTATTGGAATTGCTATTCTACCCAAACGCCACTATTACATCTGATATAATTTTCACTGATATCACAAAAAGCCAACTTCGTCACAGGATTTCTTTTTTTTTTTTTTTTGGACCTTGAAACTTCGTCACAGGATTTCAAAGCATCAAGAGTAAACAGTTTGACTTTTAGAAGTTGTCAATAACTTGACCTGAACGCAAGTATAAAATAAAAATTATTCTTAGTTTCGATTTGTGTGTCACCACCAGGTAAAGAATCTCTCCACTTTTCTTCCTCTCTATTTCCATCTTGAAAGTTTAGCTTTCATGTTTTTTGAAAATAATTTTATAAAGTATTTTTTATTATTCTTTTGAATTATACTAACTAAAATTTAGTAGTTTTATTTGATTTTATTTATTTATTTTTGAAAATTTAACATTTTATTTATAATTTTATAAATTTGAAATCTTAATCATTAAAATCTTAATCTTATAACTAAGATGAGAAGTAGATGGAAATGAAGGGAAAAGAAAGTGGAGACACCCCTTGCCCGTTAGTGCCGTATGGTGAAAACATGATTTTCGAGAGGATTAAACTTACATTCAGGTACTTGCATCCTGGTTATCCAGTTCATCAATGAACAAACTAAATGCCATTTGGATCTTTTTCGAAATACGTATATCCATATATTATAAATGCATAGGCATGTTTTCAAACATTTCAAAATAACATAAAAATATTCGCAAAATCTCAATTAATTATATGAGTGAAGATAAAAGTTTAACAATTAATTTAAGTTGAGTATTCTAATTGTGATTGATTTTACACATTTGTTAGTAGTTTATTTTCAGAACACTAGCTTATTTAAATTTAATTGTTTCATATTTTTTACTTTTGTGCAAATATTTTAAACAATTGCTATATCTCACATGTCATACCACATTTAACTCAGATGCATGCATTGGTGCTTTTTAAGTTTCCCATTCTTTCAATGTATAAGTAATTAATTTCATTTGAAGGATGCGGTTGTCCATTTCTAATGACAACTGTTTCCTATTTAATACGAGGTAAACATAATAATATAGTAGATTTCACCTCACTATAACTATTATGCGTCAATCTCTCAAATATTGTAGAAATATATCATTTACTAATTTTGAGCTCAAACGTATCTTAGCTTTTTTTTTTTTTTTAATATCAACAGTTGTTTCAGAATTTTTAATTCACGAAATGTTTCTATTTTTGTGACTTACATAAATATAAATACATTGCATTTTTATTATAAATTTTTATTTTTCTTAACATTTTAAAATATTTTCATCTGTGTAAGCTAAATATATTATTTGTGCAATCGTTTATGTTTGTAATAATATTTCATTTGACACGAACAGAGAATAATATCCCAGATCAAAAAGGACCCAACACAAGTTGAAGCGACAGATGAGAACCAATTTGCTGGGGAAGCATCAATTTCTGTAAGTTAATTGATTTCTCATTCAAATTCTTCAAATGAAATAATCATATCCCCTAATTGGGGTTACTTTCTTCTTCTTTAAAGCGTACTGGAGGCAGGAGACGACCTCTTACAAGTATGAATGGAGCTGGAAATACCTTATTTTCCTTTGAAATTCCTAAAGATATCGCCAACATGATAGACATGGACAAGGTACCTTTTATATATAACATTGGTTTAGATTATTTAAATTGTGTATTTATGTATCTGTTAAAATTAATTAAAACTAACAGTTACTGATATTATTTTTAGTCTTTGAAATTTAACTTCATTTTAGTTTTGGTCTCTGGAACAAGATCTCAAGAATGATCAAAATTACTGATTTCAAATTTCATAAACTAAAACCTGAAGTCATCAAATATCAGGAACTGAAAATAGTATTAATAACTCCTAAAACTAAAGATTAAAATAACTAGTAGAGTTAAAAGTTTGGAGATAAACCTGATAACTTTTGCAGCTACCCCATTTGGAGCTAGCCACCAACCTATCGGAGCGTACATTATCCTTCAAGGACAGACTTGAAGGCTGGAACATTGAGCGCAGACAACGTGAAACTGGAAGATGTGACGTGGTAATTTCTTAACATTCATTTGATTAAATATATTTTTGAGTTAAGGTGAAGAATTGCCTCTAAAATCTTCACTCCATAGGAGTAAAGGATACTCAGATGTTTTAAAATTATAACAATTTTATTCTCTACAAATTAAAAAAACTAACTTTAACCATTAGTAGTTTCAATAGTAGAGGACAAAATTGTTAAACCTTTAAATTTTCAAAGCAAATTTGCGGCTCCAAAAACTCTTTTAGATGCTCAATGCTCTTAGGTAAAAAATTTTAGGAAAAATTTGCACCTTAACCCTAAATTATTTTGTCCATTCTTTCTCATAGCCCTTCAAGATAACTTGTAAACAAGTCTCTAGACCTAGTTGAGAGACATCTTGTGAAGAGAACGCCATGTCTTTTTGTCTGTATAGACTGAATGTTGAACTTTGGATGCAGTATTATCGTCATAAAAGATCAAAGCGAGTATTAAGATCAATTTATGAGATCGTAACATTCTTAATGTATGAGAGCTGCCCAACAAGTCGAAAGAGAAAATCATGTTCGAAGAAGATGGAAGAAGAACAAAATGGAGAAGACGAAGAAAAGATATGGGGAAATGATAATGACGATAGTGTTGAGCTTTACAAGAAGCTTGAAGATAAGGCAGCCGAGGCATTAATCTCTCTATGTGATGATAATAAGAACAACATTATTGCAAATAACAATGATCAGGACAAACCACCTCGGACGGTTGATGTTGCTTCTTCTTCTTCTTGTTCCTCGTCTACTTCTCCTGTTGCTAATGATGACGATGATGCTATTAGTCTCATTAATCACATCCCAGTTTGCAAGAGCATGGAAGAACTGGAAGAGTTCCTCATAAATAATAGAAAAATTATGCATGCATAAATCATTATTATATATGCATTTATTTAATTTTAACTTCTTCGTGTCACATCTAGATACACAGGCCATCTCATGAACCCTTCCTTAAGAATATTGAAACATTTGTTATGTACGTGTTATATATTTTCATTAATGATGTAGGTCTTGTATAATTGCATATTTTTTACAACTTATGAATAATGTGTTTTCTGAAATTTTTGTTTATATATATATATATATATATTATATTGATATGTTTGGTTTGATGTGAACATGTATATTTTACAACTATATCATTCAACCTATTGGTCAATCAAGAACTATCTTGACCACAAATCAATTAATATTTGAATTCTTTGTTACAAATAGTGATGGTTGATAAAATGATGCCTATCATCTAAAATGTCATAATTAACACGGCATTACAAATAATGTGTTTAAGAGACTAGTCTTATCCAGGCCTAATAATGCATATCCTGAAAAAGTCATAGTTAATTTTAAGGAAAATTACAATTAGGTCCCAAGTTAGGCAAAGCAATAAAATGATATTAGGCTAATCTTACCCCTTTTCCTAGTCACTCTCAAGTCCCTCAACCCTTTTAGTAATAAATCCAACTCAAGAGAGCTATTAGTAATTAATTTACTCACCTGACACTTAATTGTAATTATAAATCACTCATTTAGTTATTTCTCAAATAATCTATGCATTGTTTTTCAAATTCATACAAAATGAAAATAATTTTATTTTTATTTTTTTCTTACAAAAATTAAACTAGAGCATACCCGAGAATACTGTTATACATATGGGCTTCACAAATTATGGATGGGCCGAAACCGGTCCAATTTATGGGTAAGTGGGCTATTATGCAAGGTTCCCATCATATCATTAAGATATTACTTTCTCCCATTTTTATTATAAAAATCTCTCTTAATCCTTAATGTAGTACTACAATATTTTATATTTGAAAAATTATTATTTTCCTTGAATTTCATTTGCTTTAATCCTCCTTAACTAATTAAAGATTCTTTTTTAATTAATTTATAAAGGATAATTTTAAAATTTTGCATGAAATTATTAATAAACTCTTAAAATAAGGATCTCAAAGAATACAAGTTTTTTTGGGGGAGGGGGAATGATAAAAAATGGGGATTTAACACCAAATCAAACTCTCAACATGAAACTGGAATGATACATAGAGTCATAAATTGTTGACTCTGATGCAAACAAACTACAAGGTATCAGAAGACGTGTTCATAGATGTGATACCAGCTTGTATAGATTCCAAGTTACAGAAAAGGAAGAACCAGCGATCCTTTCTGCGAATTTTCTTCCGGTCAAGAGTACAGACGGAAGCCTCGTTTCTGTGATGCTTCTCTTTCAAATGATCCACGTTAGACCATATTTCTTCTTTTATGTCCTCAAATTCCTTCTCAACTTCCTTAAGTTTTGCCTCGAGAGTCTGCTTTTCTTCCTCCTTCTTCTCCATTAACTCATCACAGACAGCCTATTTAAAGTAGGCAACATCAAATTACTAATACTATGAAAAGATCTGGTAATTAAGAGAATATATTGACTGGGATCTTCTGTTCTTACTTGGCCGTCCACATCTTCTGGTGGTGGATCTCTCTTGGCATTAGCCATTATTTCGCCTATCCTCTGATTCAATTTTCTCAGATTATACTTCAGATTCTCTAACCTGCCAATCACCAGTTCACGTTCCAACTACACACAAAAAAAGCATCTAATGAGTCAGATTCCAGGGATCAGTATCAGTATCAGTACTCAGGAACATCTTAATCCTCATTATGGTGACACATTCGATCATCAAAATATATATCATGAAATATCATAGATATGATTGCAGCTTTATAAAGCTTCAAGCATTTGAATGATCATAATAGCTCAAGTTGAAGACAGAAAGAAAATCAAACATATTGCATTGGAGTATTTTAATTTGTATATATATACCACTTTTTCTCTGATCTTTTCAGATAGATGGAGATGTTGTTGATCTTTTTTCTCAAACATCTTTATAGCCTATTTTAAAACGTGCTGGGGCGTGGCACCTTTTGGCAAAATTGTTACGAAACAAAATGGAAGTGAAACGTCCAGATCTTTACGTCTCTTGTAATTCTCAGCTTCGTCATCACTTTGAGACCTTGATGAGTAGTTTTCCTGCAACCAACTGGTTTCTGTTTCGTCCATGGAGATAACTGATCTGTCACGTCCCAAGAATATTGATGTGCTTTAGTTTTCCGGTAAAAGAATTCAAAGAGAGAATGAGAAGAACAAAAATATTGCTTACCTTGATTATCAGTTATGGATCATCCAAAGCTGGAGAAATCTTTTGGATCTTGAACTGTGTTATCAACTCATCATGGTCAGGCAATGTTTAGCATTTTTATATGTATTTCACGCGATGCTAGTTGTACAATAAGTCTAGTCAACGCCTTGGACCTCAAGCCAAGGATGTCGAATAAAAAAGATGGACCAAATATTTTAAGTCCAAAATATAGATAAATTATTAAAATAATTTTTTTATTCATTTGAAATATACTATGCGGCTAGGTTTCATGATGCTTAACAATATTAATATAAACTATTCAAACTTAATTTCTGCACTTTATTGACATATTTAAATACACTACAAGACTGACAAGAAAATCACCAACGATGTTTTAGCTGTATATATGATCTGAAATGAATTTCATATCAAAGGATTAAAAATTATGTAGCATGAATGCTTTAAGTACTTCTTTTCCTTTGACTTTTTCAGGCATCTTCAAATGTTGTCGACCCTTTCCTCAAACAATCTGATTATCACTATGACTCTGTATTTTGGATGTGAATATCTTTTGGCAAAATTTCAGCAAAATAATATGGTAACTTTCTTTTTTTGGAATATATTCCATGCATCAAACTTGTTTTTAATTTTCATTTTGGTCGGGACGTTGTAGCTCAATAACACCAAACACCTTTCTTAAATCTTTCCTAAGCCTGAGGCTGCAAGTTTGAACCCTCTATGTATTGACATAATGGGTCCTATAAGTCATATATGGGGGAAAAAACTTTTTTGGGTTAAATATTCATATAGCTGATTTACCAATTTGCTCAAAGATCGTCGTGGAAAGAAGGTGTACTTCTTATTTTATTATTAATTAACACATCATATACATTATTTCTTAGATTCCACTAGTAATAATAAAAAAGTGTTCCGGATCCATATCCTTTCCAACTGTTCCAAGAAATGAGAACAAATATGAAGTTCATTTTTTATCATTATATATAATCTTGATGCAATAAGTAACTTAATTATTCTCGATTAATTAGCTAAATTATCCTTCAATTGCTTGAACTATCAAAATTCACAGACTCAATATTTTTGGAGAGAATCAGAGGGCCAAATAAAAACGAAAGATAATAATGGTTATAAAGAAAGGACTTGAGCTGACACAGCTGGATTACTTTTTCCTTAATATCATTCTTTCTCCAGTTAAATATTACATGTCACAAATATCAATATCAATATCAATCACCATCAATGAAAAATATACAAAATCAATAACCAAATTACACCTTTCATAAAATTGTAAACAATGCGGTTCTTTTCAAACTATGTGAAGCGTGTGGGACCAACATTTGGTTACATATCACATCTCACTCTAAGAAAAAAGAAAAAGAAAAAGAAATCACAAACAATTGATATTGTGACTTAATATCCAATTTCTGCAGCCGCCTGCCCATGTCGAAGAAGACTTGTCCATATAAATCATGCAACTTTTGACAGATTCTAAGTTACGATATTGGAGGACCCAACATTCCTCGTTATAAATCCTTCTCTGGTCAAGCATGCAGAAATATGCCTCCTTTCTGTGTTGTTTATCTTTCGACTGCTTCGCCCAAGACCTTATCTCTTTTCTTATTGCTCCTGATATTTTCTCAGCTTTCTTAATTTTGGCTTCAAGTGTCTTCTTTTCCTTCCTCATCTCCATTAATTCATCACATACATCCTATTACAAGTAAACGTGACACCAAATGCAATCAGTACTGCTTATATGCAACAGAAATTAACCTAATTTGAAATTGGTACACCATTGTACCTGGTGGAATGGGGATATATATAGAGGTTCTCGAGATATAACCCAAAAAACAAAATCTAGGAACACTTATACCTCAATTGTCTTTCTTATGCTTTTATTTGAGATCTTAGCGTTCAAATCTTTCCCCTTTAATGTTGCACTGTTAGTGGACTTTCTTTGATCTGCTTCTCCCTGCTGTCTGAAGTTCATGTCTCTCAAGAATTTGTTTTCTTCAGATAACTTTTTGGTCTGATGGAGCATCAAGAAATTCAGCTTCTGAATCATCAGAATGGGAACAAACAAGAAAGCTAAAGTCAGATCAAAGGAAGAAGTCCTCGAATGAAATTAAAGGCTGGATCTGATTAACAGAATATTAATTGAGTGAGTTCTCTCTTACATGGATATCAGCACCTTGTTCTGTAGTGCATTCAAATTTAGTAGTTTCCCACCTACGCACTTCACCAGCAGAACACAAATTATGTAGCTCCAGATTCAATTTTGCCAGCCTGCTTGTTTGAATTTGAATTTTTCTTAGGACTTCCCGATGGTCGTACTTCAGATCATCCAATCTTGAAACCTCCTCTTCCCATTCAAACTATATATAGACAGAAAACTCCATGATAGATATATTGAGTTTATTGACATTAATATTAATAACTTCTCAAATGTCTAAATTAATCGCGCTCTTTCTTTGGAGCTCAAACAGAAACAAACTGGAAACGAATAAAGGAAAATCTCACAGCATGAGTCTTTTCACGTACCAATTTTCTTCTGATCTTTTCAGACATGTGAAAATGTCGCTTATCCATTGTCTCAAACAGGTTGACTGCCTCTTTGATTCTGGATTTGGGATCTACATCTTTGGGCCAAAGGTTGACAAAATAAAATGGTAGTAGCACCTGAAGATCTGGTGGGGTTTTCTGCTTCACCCTGGTTTCTGTCTCGTCCATTTAGATCAAAATCTGCATACTCAAATTATATTGAAGTGAATCCATAGGTCTGATCAAAAGCTACATTGAAATGCATCCTTGTTCAAATTATAATTAGAGAAGAACATGTACACTTACCTCAATTGCTAGGATTGCCTCTTTACGGAGTCTACCAAGAAATGAGAAAGTTGATTAATTCTGTTTTTACTGAATGTATGCTGGCTTTTGGTTTATGTAAGCACTCCAATTTATTTTGGTTGTATTTATCAGTCATTTCTCTTGCACCCCACGCCAAGGAAGTCATAAGAAATTTAAAATATTGGCCAAAAAAAAAATTGAAACAAAGGGTCAATTTTTTATTTGGCTTATATAACTTCGATAACTTTTAGTAGTCTAAATTTTGTGAATCCCTTACTAATTATATAGTCACTTGAATTTAGTAAATCTCTTAGGTAATAATTTATAAAATTCGATATTTTGACTCTCGTACATTTATAGTCACGCAACTAGTAATCTATTCAAATTTCTAATTATGATTTATTTCTTCCTGTCCTTGATATAAAAGCTAATTTGATTTTTATTTTGATTCTAAATATAAGACCTCAATCCACTTTGTCTCTCATATTTATCTAATTTTTTAAATAGTCATTGTGGTAATGGTAATTCTAGTTAATACACTTGATTAGTAAGGATATATTAAAAAAGACAATATTTATTTATTACAAATAACTAAATTAATTTTCTTAATCTACTCAAATTAGTTAATTCACACTTGTATTAAGAACCAAAAATAGTATAATCATAATAATTTGACAAAAGTTTCAATATTGCATTGGTTACAATTAATCATAAAGTTTACGGCTATCTCAAGTGATGATAAGTATACGATAAAGAGTGGGTAAAAAAGTCGAAACTTGAAACCCATATTTAATTATTTATTTGGCTTTCCAAATGTTTAAATATGTCAAAGCCAGTCCTTGCATCCCACGCTATAAAGTCAGTATTCTGTAATCTGAATATATATATATATATATATATATATATATATATATGGTAATTGGAAAGCAAAACATAGTGCCTAATATTTTAGTTCCAGCTACGCGAACCTAGTTTCGGTCTCTCTCTTTTCTTTCTCTTTCATTATAGTTTAAAACATCCCAATATTATAGATATGATATCAACCATTTAAATTCATGTATTCTCATTCAAATTACACACACACACACACACACAAAAGAGATAGAGGAAAGAACAAAGAAACCAAATTAGCCGATTACTGGCACATGTGTGGAGATAATCTAAATAATAACACAGTTACATTAATTGGAAAAATCAAGTAGTATATCCTCTCTACATATGTTTCTTATTAACTTTCGTTGTTATATATGTATGTATTTTAAAATTCAAGGTGTGATGACAGAAAAAATTTTAAAATTCAAGGTGTTATTTTGAGAATGCTTCCTCATTCAACTCATATATGACTTGTTACAAGGAACAAAAAACCGAATTGGACACTAAACCGATTAAGGTAGTGGTTCAAGGGTTAGTGGGTCAGACCGGGGTCAACTCGAATCAAACCGGTAATATTAAAATAATATAATTTAATTGAAGATAAAAAAATACAACAACAATAATAATTGCTGCCAACCAAAAAATTAAGAAATATAATAATAATTTAGTTGTAATAACATTAAGAATGTTTTATTAAATAGTATGTATTACACCCAAGCAGCTCTCCTCAATTTTCTTTTTAACGGGCCTTCCCTCCACGATCTTCAAAATTATAGTATTTATTTATATATAATTGATATATATATGGATTAATGGGAGAAATGTCTGTTAAAAAAAATAAAGATGAGATGAATAAAAAATCAAATTAATGCTTCGAAGAACGAAAAAGAAGGAAAAAAGTTGTGTTATAACCTATTAACCTGCAAGTCCTCAGCGAATAGTCTGCCCATACAATATCTTTTTTTAAAAAAAAAAAAACTCTCTGCAGTGTTTTGATTTGACTTAGAACTCCAGAACTTATGCCTTTCTTCCCTTCACTTATTTTTCCCCATTGGTTCTCGTTCATCTTTCTCTCAAGTTTGAATATATTTTTGTTCTCCTCCTCAACTCCTCCTCCTAAGCAGAAACAGGCTGGACATGGCAGCAATGATGCTTGCAAAATCAACACTCCGACATATGCGCTCTATGCTTCCAAGAAAAGTTTGGCAAGTTGCTTTCCTCTTCCCTACCTTTTTCTCCATTCTTCCTCCTTCTCGCCGCTGTCTCTTCCGCCCTCCTCCTCCTCTTTCTTTTTCTCCTCAAACTTCCAATTTCTGGTTTTTATTTTTAAAAAAAGAGTGACCCAGTTAACCCATCTAACCCAACGAGTTGACCGGGTTATTACCGAGTCACTACGGTTCGAACCGGTTCATACCGATTCAAAAATTTTCCGGTTCATAGCATGAATCAGACCGGACAAGTGGCCGGTCCACCGGTTTCCGGTCTGAACCGGCCGGTCCGGTCCCGTTTTTTGAACATTGCTTGTTACAGTTTCACATAATTTTAATAAAATGTGATAAGTATTGTATAATTTAGTTTGAGATTTATACACACACACACACGCTCTTACATGCATACATACTAACTACTTCTCTTATCCTATTGATATGTTACTTTCAACAAGTTTCATGAGAATAAAAAAACTTAAATTTCATTAATTTTATCTTAAAATTTTTACAATTTTTTAATTTTATCCCTGTTTAAATAATTCACTTTTTAGAGCAATAATAATCTACCAAATAATAAATGAGGGGCAAGTTATTGCATTCATTCTAAAAATTTAATGAGATGACTATATATATATTATAAATATAAATAGGACAAAAGGAGTATATGATAAGCTACACTGTTCATGAGTAAACTAAAAACACTGGCTGATTTCAATTTGTATGTAATGTATTGACTCGTATCTAATTATTTGTAAATATCATACACAAATAATATTATTGAAGAATGATCATGATCGGATTTATTATCTAAGTTGCCTTTCAATAGGTATACCGAGCAGAAAAAAGAATTTCAATCACTCCATTTACATTTTTTGCAATGATTGTATCGAAGCGAATAGAATTATTTTCTAAGTTGCCATATTTGAGGGCCCAGACGTTGTCAATATCCGTCGTCCTAAGAAAGAAGAGAGAAGCCTCCTTTCTCTGGTAATTGCCTTTCAAGTGTTCTTGAAATGACCAAATTTCTTCATTTATGACTTCTAAGTCTTTATCAGCCGCTTTGATTTTGGCTTCAACTTCCTTCTTTTTCTTCCTAATCTCCATTGACTCATTACATACCACCTATTAAACGCAAATTAATTAATTAAAAAAATATCAATAACGCTACAAATTGATAATGATTAATTGCTTTTGTTAAATTGGAAGAAATCTTTATGAACAATAATGTAAAATTAGAGGGCACCCTTGTAACAAATAACAAATGTGCTATAATATATATATATATATATATCTCTCTCTCTCTCTCTGTGCGCGTACCTTGATTTGGTTTTTCACTTCTTCCCTTAAGCCTTTTGAGACTTTCCTTGTCACTTCAAATTGTTTGATTTCTTCAAGTAGTTTGTCACACATCTTTCGGTTGTCGTGATGACGGCAATGTGCAGACAACTATAATTATTATTTGATGACCCAGATAAGAAAAGAACAAATAGACGTTACTAAATCATAACTAAGGCAATTAAAAATAATTTAACCTCTTGGTTTTAAAAAAAGACAATTTAGCCAAAAAAGAACAAGTGGATTTTTGTAAGTTACGTACGTTGAATCTAAGTTCTGGTATAGGTAAGGCTGAAGCATTATTCCTTTCCTGTCTCAAGTCCATCTCTCTGAACAATTTCCTTTCTTGGGCCAAATTTTTGGTCTTATGCCGCATCCGGTAATTCAACTTCTGATCCTCAAATATTTAGAGTACAAGATGACGCAAAATCGGAGTTCATTCAATTTTCTTAAACAATGGAATTAATATGTAGCTTTTGTGAATTACTTTGGCTTTCTGTACTTACGCGTTTTTCAAGCTTTTCTTCCGATGAACACTTTGGAAAAGAGAATTCATCTAGTGCCATGTACAGTTGAGTCAATAAGTCCTTCTTCCGAGCAATGCTTCCTTTGAGTCCGTCAAGATCTTTTCGTCTCAGATAATGCAACCTTGAAACCGCATCTTCATGATCTTTCTGCAATTAATTAATTGTCAGAAAGCAGACATGTATATATTATTTATCAGATTAATGATGGCATTATCAATCTTTCACTTTGAGTATATTTAAGTGATATCAAACAATAAAATCTTGAACTTACCAGTCTTTGTCTGATGCTTTCAGATATCTGAAGGAGTCGCTGATCCTTTTCCTCGAACAGCTTGAGTGCATCTTGAACTAAGGACTTGGCATCGACACCATCTTGTGGCAAAATTCTGACAAAACTAAATTTTCTTATCATATTTCATGTTTGAGATGAATAATCAAGCGTACAAGTGTATGAGTTAAAGACAATAATACAGAAAAGTCAACTAAAGGTTGCATTAAAGTTGTTGCTGATGAACTGCTGGTTTATAGAGACAAAAGGGCGTCCTAAGGGCTAAATTAATAAATAACACCTCGCACCTCACGCAAAGTCAACCTTCAAATATCATAAATAAATTAAACAAGGGCCAAAGACTCAAAAATATAGCCACAATAATGACTCATGAAACAAGTGTTGCTGTCAATTATTACCAGTTTTATAATATACAATAGACATAAACAAATAATTTTTAGCAACAAATAATGAATACAATCCATATAATTCAAATTATGATTGTTTTTAGGCCGATGAAATTATGTGTTACATTTAATATAGCCGCCTCGCCCTTGTTAAATATAAAAGGGCCGCATTTTGGTTGTTTGCTTGAATCATAATTTTCTTCATTCTATTTTTGAAGACATGAGGAGGCTTTCTTTTGGGGAAAAAAAAATAAAAAATCAAAAGTTACTCTATTGAACAAATATGGTTAGATTGAATAAAAAGAATAAAATATTTTTTGTGAATAAAACGACAGAAATCAAATCACTTAAATAACGTAAAGAGATTTGAATCTTAATACTCTATATTTTTTCAAAGAAATTTACAAATTTTACATATTTATTACTACCTTTAGTTCTAATTATAAGAGCTAGTTAACTAATTTGAGGAGATTAAAGAAAAAGTTTAAGTTAGTTATTTGTAATAAATATGTATTGTTTTTTCTAAAATATCTTTACTAATTAAATACATTGGTTAGAACTAAAATTGTTAGAAGAATTACTTTTGAAAAAAAAATACATAATACGAGAAACAAAGTGGATTAGGGTCTTATATTTAGAATCAAAATAAAAGTCAAACAAAGTCTTATATTAAGGACCGAATGTAGTATTTCTAATGAGCAAAAAAGAGGAAAGGCTGACGGACAAATAATAGACTGAAATGAAATGAAGAACTCGTTTGTAGCTAATAATATATGAATGTTTCTGCGGTAAATGATTTTTTAAGTCTAAAGAATACCTTAACACCCTAATGGACTAACTCTCTTAGACTTTTAGTTATAAAAGAAAAAAAGAATATGATAAATGAGCCATAAATAGTGTCCTAATTATAAGACCTGGTTTGTAACTAATAAACAAAGTCTTATAAATAGGACTGAGATAATACTATTTAATTATGAATCATAAATCATGAATTTATAGACACATACATTTTTTCTTAGAAAGAAAAAAATATGAAATTAAGACAGTGAATATTAAAAGTGTTTTCACACAAGCTGAAAAAAAACTTGTGTTACATTTTTATTTCATATACCAAAAAATTATTTTAAAATCATAATTTTGTTTTTATCTAAACACTTCTTTTGTGTTAAATTACAATTTCATCTCCGAATGATGTCACTTTATTTTCGAGAACGTAGAAATGGTACCAAAAATATATATATCCACAAAAACAGGGCGCACTATTCAGTAACTGCAAATATATATATATATATATATATATATATATTTATATAAAAACCCCCTCAATCTCGAAATTTGATTGTAGGTTCCGTCACGCGCACAGCTACATTCCATTGTCAAAGCAACGGAATCATTTGCCTGTACGGATGATATTTCTTCACAGAATGAGCCCAACGAGGAGATGGTACCAAAAAATATATATACATATCCAAAAAAAAAACAAGGAGCACTATTCAGTCACTACAAATATATATATATATATATATATGGGTTAATACAAATTTTAGTCCCTTAAATTTGAGCCCAATTCGGTATTGGTTTCTGAAATTTAAAACATGTGGTATTGGTCTCTCAAATTATGTTTGTTTAAGTTTGTTGGTTCCTGGCTTCTTGGCACCGTTAAATCCTGTTGACATGGTATTAACACCATTAAGCGATGAGTTGGACCATATGACCTGGTAATGAACTGCTGAGTTGGCATGTAGGTGTCACTTTAACTAGACATGGACCCAAAAAAAAAAAAAGGGGGAATCAGATGCAAAACGCAGGGGACGACAATAGAAGAAAAAACAAAGGGGAAAGGGTTTAGATAGAATCTGCATGAGTGGAGAAAGGAAAGGGTTTTCTGGTTCTGATTGTTGAGCTTTGACAAATCCCTAACCCAATCGTCAATCCTCTCACAGTTCCTGTTCTGTCGGTGCAAGTTATAGGTGATGCGGCACGGGACGAAGCCAGTGGCATCGAAGTATTAACTGGAAGCTGCGTCAGCACCAATAATCGCGACACTAGAATGAAGATAGTATCAAATTCTCAGAAATTTTTACGGTTAGCATCAATTATTGACTGTGGTTTCGATCCAAACATGGTGGCGATCGATGATACGTTATCATTCAGTTGAACCACGTAGGAAATCAGGATGTTCTCTCCGTTTCGCAACTGCATCGCGTTAGGGCACTTGCAAAACACAGGGAACACGGTGCTAACACCTATCGTCAAATTTGTCGGGATGAGGGTAGGGTTCACGACTTCTACGGATGGGTAGGTTGTGAGGTTCTTGTAGCTAAACGTGGAGACTTGGTAGAACATGTCTCCTTTCTTGATGGTGTAGAAGAGATTAGCATAGGAGATGGCACCGAAGGTTGAGTTGATGAAGTTGCAGGAGCAAGATAGAGGAACGAAGAGGGGTTGGTTTGGGGCTAAAGTTGAAGTAGGAGAAGAAATGTTGCTTGGTCCTGCAATCATGGGACGACTAACGGAGAAGAGGTCACAATGAAGGCGAGGTCGAGGAAATTAGGAGCTGAAGCTCGGTAAAAGGCGTAGGTCCAATAAGGGTAGCCGGAGCCGGTCTGGTTAGCGTAGCACTGGTAACCAGTGGTGTTGGGTTGTATCTGGTCCTGAGCCTATGAAGGATAAAAAAGATGAAGGAAGAAGAAAAGAGAAAGATGGTGGGGTACGGAGTTTCGTATTCTCATCATATTCTGTTTGGATCTTCTTGGTTTTTGGTCCATGTCCAGTTAGTGTGACACCTACATGCGAGCGGTTCATTACCAAGTCATATGGTCCAACTTATCGCTTAACGGTGTTAATGTCATGTTAACAGGATTTAACAGTGCCAAAAAGCCACGAACCAACGGATTTAAACGGACATAATTTGATGGACAAATATCATACGTTTTAAATTTCAGAACCAATACCAAATTAGGCTCAAATTTGAGAGACTAAAATTTGCATTAACCCTACCTCAATTTCGAAATTTGATTATAGGTTCCGTCACGCGCACAGTTACATTCCATTGTCAAAGCAATGGAATCATTTGACTGTACGGATGACATTTCTTCGAAGAATGAGCCCAATGAGGAATCTCAGTCATATATGCTCCCTCTCCTTAATATAAAAACTAATTTGATCTCCAATATAGTTTTAAATATAAAATTTTAATTTACTTTGTTTCTTATATTTATCATTTTTTAAAAATAATCCTTGTACTCCTATGATTCTTAATATAAGATTTATTTGACTAATTTGATTAGATTAAGAAAATTAGATAAGTTAGTTAATTATAAAAAATGTAACATGTTTTTTTTTCTAAAATACTATAATCATCTTTCTTAGTATCCTTCCTCCCTCTTTTACTTGATTATGGTTAAGAAAGTATTCATAGGAATAATTTAGAAAAAATTGATAAATATGATAAATAGGTCTTATATTTACAACCAAAATCAACTCAACAATCAGGTCTCATATTAAAGATCGGAGGAGTAAGAGTTTTGCATGTTAAATGTTTCATTAAATAGTAGTCATAGCTATTACACATGATTAGCAAAGGTATTTTAAGAAAGATAAGACATTTTTTATAAAATAATTAACTTAATAATTTTTTTTAATCTACTCAAATTAATCAACTAACTCTTATATTAAGAACATAATACAGTATATATATATATTGCATATGCCGAACAAAGTTGCTTTGAAATCCAAGGCTGTTTCATGTTTGTACATTGAACATAACATAACCCCTATTGATTGTTAAATGCGGAATACCTTGTTTACTCAATGAAACAGCCTGTCGTGCATATATCTAATAAATAAGCTTTCCAAATGATTAACTTGTTAAAGCCAATTAGCCCTCTTGGAGCCCACGCCGCCATATATAAAAGTCAACTCTCTCAAGTTTTAGACACACACACACACACACACACACACACACACACACACACATATATGTACGTATATAGCAGTGAGAGGTTTAAAAGATAGAGATGGATCAAACAGAGAGAGCAATTATCATCGTATTTGTAACATCATTTGTTTGCGTCTTCAGTTGCTTCTGTGCCTGTTTTATATGGTCAATAAAGCACGCAAGGAGACAAGTTGGTCGGCCGGCGTCTAGTGGTGGTGCTGGTGTAATTTCTCACAGTGGGAGGACATATGTTTGGTCTATCTCTACGACGGACGCTGGGGTTTCGGAAAGCTCCGGTGGACTTGCAGTTGCAGCGGCTATGTCGAGCTCAGGTGGTGGAAGTTCCACATGCGATGGCGGTGGAAGTGGTGGTGGTTTTAGTGCGTGTTAAAATTAAGAAGCTAAGGGATTGGCCAAATGCAATTGAAAATGCATTTATGAGAGCTATAATATCTGTTTGAGGCTTGACTCGGCTTGATCTGAATTATTCAGATTAAGTTTGATCAATTTGAATCTGGACACACTGGGTGGAAAAAAGATGAATTGGTTTATCAAATGTCAAAGCTTTTTTTTTTTTTGGCCAAAATCAAATGTCAAAGCTTGGTGGCTATGAATTTCTTCTATATTATATTTGTTTCAGGTGCTATAAGTAGTTCTAAACAGTAAATACTCCTTCATTCTTTAATATAAGATCAAATTGTTCAATAAATTTTAATCCTAAATATAAGACCTATTACTTATATTTATCAATTTTTTGTAAATTATCTCTGTTGATACTTCCTCAACCATAACCAAATAGCTAGGAGAGGGAGGTAGGGTATTAAAAAAGATAATTATGATGCTTTAGAATAAACATATAAAAAACATTTTATATTTTTGATAATTAATTAACTTAACTAATCTTATTAATATAATCAAATTAGTTAAATATATCTGACCTTTTAAGTATGGAGGAGTATTATATTGTTTTGTAATTTCTGGTTCATCTTCCGGTGGTATCTCTGCGGCTGTCAATGTGATCGATTTGACTAATTGTCAAACATTTTTAATATCATTCTTCGTGCATTTCAATTTTGTGTATAACAGAATGTAAATTTAAATGCGTATAGTATTTAATATATGAGCTAAATAAGATGTTTATTTTAATTCTAAATATGATATCTTAATCTATTTTATCTCTCAAATTTATCATTTTCTCTCCAAAATATCCCTATTAATTGCCCATATTAATAAGTTCCATGAAAAAGTAGTTCCAATATACATGATTAATAAAGATACCTTAAAAAACTAACACCTATTTATAATAACTTACTTAACATTCTTAATATTTTAAAATTTTTTAAAGTAAGCGTGTATGTAATAAGTCAATCCTTGCACCCCACGCCATAAAGTCAGTATCCTGGAATCTGAAGTTATATATATATATATATATATATATATATATATATGTATGTATACGGTGATTGGAAAACAAAAACATAGTGCCTGATATTTTAGTTCCAACTACACAAACCTAATTTCTGGCTTTCTCTTTATACTTCCTCTTCCATTTTAGTTTTTCTCAAAATATATTACTTTTGATTTAATATTTTTATTTTCTATACTAAATTAGAACCATTTAACTAAATTTAAATAGTTCAAATTTTATATGTGTGTGTGTGTAATAGAGAAAAGAACAAAGAAACCAAATTAGCTTACTACTTCCGTGTGTGTGGAGATAATTTATGTATCCGCACTATGTTTCTTATTAACTCTCGTTGTTAAGTATGTATTTTAAAAAGTTAATATAATTTTTGATCTCTTAAATTTGTTTTCATTTTGGTTTTAATTCCTTAAATTTAAATCATAAATTTTGGTTACTCAAATTTTTTTTTCATTTAAAATATTGGTCGTAATAAAAACCTAGACCAGTTAGTCTATTGGGAGAACAAAACTTATAATTTTAAACTCAAGGGATCAAAATCAAAATGAGAACAAATTTAAAGACCAAAGATTGTATTAACCTTATTTTAAAATTAAATGTGTTGTTTAATTTTGAGATCATGCTTCTTCTTTCCTTTAACTTATATATGAATTAGTTGCAGTTTCACATAATCTTCTTGGTGAGATGCCTTATTAAAAATGATATAATGTATGTCTTTAATAAAATATGATAAGCTTGTTGTATAATTTAATTTGAGATTCATAGATCCACACATACTCTTACGTGCATGTATACTAATTGTTACCTCCTATATTAATATAAGAATTAGGCAACCAATTTATAAATATTAAATAAATTAGTTAAGTTAGTTATTTATAATGAATGAATGTTGTCTTCCCTATAATATTCTTATTAATTATATGCATTTGAGTTATCCCTTGATAAAAACTCCTTATCATGTTTAATCATCATAAGAATCATTTAATGGAAAAATGGATGTACAAATATTAGAAATAAAGTGAATTAGAGTATTATAATTAAAACCAAATTAAATCTTGAACTAGCTCTTATATTAAGGTTAATATAGGTCATTTGAATTTGTAATGCATGGGACTCACAGCTAATTATTTGTAAATATCATTTACAAATTCTATTATTGAAGAATCATCATAGAAGGATTTATTTTATTTCAATAGGGAAACAAAACAGAAAAGAATTTTAATAACTCCATTATTTACATTTTCTGCAGAGGTTGTATTGAAGTGAATAGAATTGTTGTTTAATTTGCCACATTTGAGAACCCAACCGTTATCAGTATCCGTCGTCCTAAGAAAGAAGAGAGAAGCCTCCTTTCTCTGGTAATCGCCTTTCAAGTGTTCTTGAAATGACCAAATTTCTTCATTTATGGCTTCTAAATCTTTATCAGCCACTTTGATTTTGGCCTCAACTCCCTTCTTTTTCTTCCTCATCTCCATTAACTCATCACATACCGCCTATTAAACGCAAATTAACAACATATCAATAACACTACACATTAATGATCATCACAACTCTTAGAGGAAATTAAATATGCCACAACAATTAATTAATTGCTTCTGTTAAATTGGAATCAAAGAAATCTTCGTGAAGACTAATAATGTAAAACTAGAGGGGGTACCCTTATGACTAATAACAAATGTGCTCTAAATAAAATTTATATAACCTTGATCTGGTTTTTCACTGCTTCCCTTAAGCCTTTTGGGACTTTCCTTGTCACTTCAAATTGTTTGATTTTTTCAAGTAGCATGTCTCGCTTCATCCGGTTGTCGTGATGATGACAATATGCAGATACCTACAATCATTTGATAACCCACATAATTAGGAAAAAGGCAAAGACGTTACAAAATCAAAATTAAGGTAATAATAAAATTCAATGGATTAAAAACAATTTAACCAAAACAACAAGTGGGTTTTTGTAAGTTTCGTACATTGAATCTAAGCTCTGCTATGGATAAGGCTGAAGCATTATTCCTTTCCCGGCTCAAGTTCATCTCTCTGAACAATTTCCTTTCTTGGGCCAAATTATTGTTGGTCTTATGCTGCATCCGGAAATTCAACTTCTGCTCCACCAATATTTAGATTATAAAACGACACAAAATCAGAGTTCATTCAGTTTTCTTAGACAAGAGAATTAACATAGTTTTTTTGAATTACATTAGCTTTTTGGTACTTACGTGTTTTTCAAGTTTTTCTTCCGATCAGCATTTTGGAAAAGAGACTTCGTCCAGTGCCATATACAATTGAGTCAATAAGTCCTTTTTCGAAGCAATTCTTCCTTTGAGTCCGTCAAGATCTTTTCTTCTCAGATAATACAACCTTGATACAGCATCTTCACGATCATTCTGCAATTAATTATGATATCAATGACGCCATTGTTAATCTTTCATTAGTTTGAATTATACTCAAGATATATCAAATTAAACAAGAAAATCGTCACTGATGTTCCTTGCACTTACCAGTCTTTGTCTGATGCTTTCAGATATGTGAAGAAGTTGCTGATCCTTTTCTTCAAACAGTTTGATTGCATCTTGAACTAAGGACTGGGCATCCACACCGTCTTGTGGCCAAATTCTTACAAAACAAAAGCCTCTTATCATATTCCAGGTTTGGGATCAATAATCGTAAGGGTTAAAGAGAATTATATGGAAAAATAACTGGGAGGTTGCATTAATGTTGTTGCTGAACTGCTGGTTTATAGAAACAAAAAGGGATCGTCCTAAGGGCTAAATTAATAAAGAACACCTTGCTCCCCACGCAAAAGTCTACTTTCAAATATCATAAAACAAGGACCAAAGGGACTTGTTTATATTTTTCCCCCCGAAAAATATACGGCCCTCTTTGCATCGCATGAGCTCAAAAATAGCCACATATAATTATGACCCTTGAATATTGCTGCTTGTTACCAGTTTATCTATACATATATAGACATAGATAAATAATTTTTCAATAATAAATAGTGAATAGAATATATAATTTAAAACTAAGTGCTTTTGGCCGGTGATACTATGTATTATGTTTAATATAGCCGTCTCGCCCTTGTTAAATATAAGAATATATTGACATTTTCGTTGTTTTGCTTGAATCATAATTTTCTTCGTTGTATTTTTTGAATAACCCTTAATAAGTGTAAGGAAAGTTTAGGAAAAGAATTATAAATTTGAGAAAAAAGATAGATTGGGATCTTATTTTTTTACCAAAGAAAACTCATGTACTAGCTATTATATTCAAAGCCAGAGGTAGCATGTAGATTAATAGATTCCAATCCCACTGCTGAAAATGAAGGCCTTGTTAGTAGCTAATATGTCAAGATTCCTATTAATAATTTTTACCTTGAGGCAATGTCTCAACACCCTAATTAGTTTCAGGATTACCTCACCTAAACTATTAGTTATAAAAACATGATAAATCAGCTATAAGTATTATTTAATTATGAATTATAAACCATGGAATTTGCTTCAAATTTAGATTTTACGCTTGCAATTTTTTCATAGAAAGAAAACATGATGAAATTAAGATAATGAATATTAGATTTTGTGTTAAACTACAATTTCATCTCCGAATGATGTCACTTTTGTTTTCAGGAACTTTTTGAAATGATACAAATATATATATATCTATCTATCTATATGAATATAAATTATCATAATAGGTTCCACTATTCAGTAACTATACATAAATATTACAATAATATTTGGTTTAAGAAAACTATATTTTAATGGATGGCAAAAAAGATACTTGAATGAAATGAAGGTGGGAATATGAGAAGTGGATGGATAAAGAGTGAAAGGCTGCAACACTAATTGGAGCTAATTCCCACGTGGCTAATGCTCTATCCTGACTAATAACCTAGGCACACCGATAGCCAAAATGAGTAGTACATGACCGAAAGGCAGATGAGTTGTCTGAGACTGGCTAGTTTTCTTGTAACCCTTGACTTGTGAGTAAGCCAAACCTCTTGTCTAGAATTTTTTTCACCCAAAAAAAAAACACTTCTCAATTTGGAAATTTGATCGTAGGTTGCGTCACCCATTGCCAAAGCTATTGAATCATTTGACTGTTACGGATTATAGCCCATCGAGGCATCTCATTCTTTTTCTTTTTCTTTTTTTTGGTACAGGAGAAATCTCATTCATACATACCAAACAAATTTGCTTTGCAATCCATGGCTCTTTCATGTTTATTTAATGTTTAAATGTGCAAAACTCTCGTTTTCACTCAATGAAACAACCTGTCGTTCATATATCTAATATATGATAGGCTTTCCGTAATGATTAAGACGTTAAAGTCAATTAACCCTCCTGGAGCCCCCGCCATATAGAAAAGTCAACTTCTCTAGTTTAACTAATTTTCTTTTTAATATTATCAAAATAATTACTACCTCCGATCCTAATTATACCTAATTATAAGACCTCGTTTGTAATACTTCCGGTTCTAATTATAAGACCTCGTTTATATTAAGACCGGAAGTACTACAGACGAGGTCTTATAATTAGATATAATTACTACAAACGAGGTCTTATAATTAGGACCGGAGATAGTAATATAATCTTACAAAAAGGTAGAAGGAACTGTTTGACAAAAGAGGATCGAAATCCTATTTGAAAATTATCCTTAATGCCCCCACATACAAAGACCACATGCACTATTCAAATGAGGTTATCAGTTCTCTCGCCCAATACAAGAAACGTGTCTTTCCATTTATAACATCCCCATTGATATTACTCGAGTCAATGGAACCATGTCCCAAGTTGCCATATCTGAGGAACCACCTAAATTCAAGAATTCTGTGATGCTCAAGAATCACAAGAGAAGCCTCTTTATCTCTGTAATGCTTGTCTTTATAATTCATCAACTGCTCCTGAATTGACCATATTTCTTCATTTATACTCTCTAATTCTTTCTCAAAGGATTCAATTTTCATCTCAAGTTCTCTCTTCTTCTTTACCATATCCGTTAGATCATCGCATATGACCTATAAAAAACAAATTAAAGATAGCATCAGTCACCGGAGAGATCATCTTAATCAAATTGGTGTTGTGTGTGTCCAATAAATTTTTTTCCCTCCAAATGAAGAAATAAACGTGCATAAAACTATAACCTACCTTGCTAGGTTTCTCATTGTTTTCATTGACCCTTCTGATATCTTCCTTGTCGCTTGAAATTGTTTGATTTCTTCAACTAGTTTTTCATATTTCTTCTTCTTGTAGTGCTTGTGGCAGCATTCATATGTTCTCGGAATGGTCCATAACTACAGTTATTTAATTTCATGAAAAAACGGATGACAAAAACAAAAGGGCATTAATTATTAGAAGAAGACCGAATAATGAATTCAATAAATTTTTAGGTTAAATAAAAAAATTACAGTGTCACTAAGCTCTACCATAAGTGGAACTGAAGCATTGTTCCTCTTCGGGCTCACATTCATCTCTCTGCACAGGTGCTTCTCCTGGGCCAAATTTTTGGTCTTATGCTGAATCTGGAAGTTCAACTTCTGCAACATAACCATCAAGACGGGACATCATAAACTAGATGGGAAAATCGGACTGGTGATTGAATCGGATTATAAAACAGCCTATATAGTTTAGTTTCATAACATGATCAAGCTAAGAGAGAATATAATCTGTATCAGTTTGGATTTTTTTTCTTACATGTTTCTCAAGCTTTTCTTCTGATGCACGAGACAGTGGAAAAGAAAAATAATCGAGTGCCGTATTCAAGCGAGTCAGTGAGTCCTTTTTCCCTTGAATACTTCGACTGAGTTCGTAAAGGTCGGATTTTTTCAGAATTCTCAACCTATAAAGCACATCTTCACGACGAAACTGCAATTGGCAGAAAGCAAACATACAGAACAGTAAGATCATTTGACACCATTGTTCTTTCAATCTTTCCATTAATAAATATTAGTGTTATCAAACCCAAAAAAGAAATGTCATTCTTTTCACTTACTACTTTGTCTCTGATCTTTTCCGATATCTGAAGAAGTCTCTGATCCATTTCCTCAAACAGTTTGACTGCATCTTCAAGTTTGGACTTGGGATCTGCGTCTCTGGGCCAAATTTTCACCAAACAAAAGGGGAGAGCTTTATTCTGTACATGTTTTGCATCAACAACATCAACACATAATTTCTGATTTGGATAACCCACAATATTATTGGGTTTTGTTTTTTCAGCTTCACTTTATGGTGATGAGGTATTCTGCACCAAACCGGTTTCTTCATCTCTTTTTGCCATAAATGATCATATGCTCGGCACCAGCTTGGAGCAGCCTGGCTTTGATGATATGTGGAGTCTGTGTAGTAAATAAATGTGAGAGATCAACATATAAGTTTTGACGTGCTGGGATTAAAGAGAATAGAGAAATTAAGGTCAATGGAAGGCAGCATAGATATAAATATCGCCGAAATGTCGTTTATCAACGAAAGGGCTGAAACCAAATCAACCCCTTGCACCCCACTCCAAGTAAAGTCAACTTATGCTAATGTAAAAATCGAAGGCCAAATATGTGTGTGTGTGTGTGTGTGGATTTAAAAAAATATTCTTGACATACAATATTTTCGTATGATAACAAAATAGGCCTCTAATAACTATTGCATATAGTGATGAAATCACTCCTTGGGACGATTTTTTGTTTACTACTGCATATTTATCTTCTTATTAAAAGCAATCTTATTTGAGATATTATCTGATATTAAATTTAGACACATCTCTTAATGAAAATTCGAAACTTAATTCACCATATTATATAAGACTAACTCTTTCTATTAGAGTTAACCTTGTTAGTTTGTCTAGGATGAATTGCTCTTTGTTACTTGTGAGCAATATAACCCAAACCTAAAACCTTTTATGGGCCATCACCTTGATGAATCCAGTCGATAGATGATCAAATGAAATGAGATATATATGTCTCCCAAAGTTATATGTTCGTGAATATCATTCCCAGCTTTTTTTTGTTGTTGTTGATATTTTAATTATGTAATGATGAGTTAATAATGAGGAATGAAGTATGAGATTCCTATTCTATTTCAATTCTCTCCACTACTAAAGGAAAAGACAGATACCGTTATATTTCTCTCCTTGTAGTACTTGATGTTGTTATGAGCTGCGTGTTGATGAAAAGATGAACTGCATAGAAGTGTAAAGGAATAAATCCCTTTAAACCGGATTGTTCCGAATCTTTTTAATTAACAAGTGAAAAATCAATAATGTGAAACGTGGAAAAGAGTAAAAGCACAAAAAATTAAGTAATTTAAATTTTAACCTATACATCTTCATGGCTTATTTTCTTCATGCCACACTAGAACGCATAAAGCAGGGTTGAAGGCTATGTGTTTGATCAACAAGTTATTAGTTGAGATGATAATAAGCAGATAATACATGTTTAAATTCTGAAAAACATACTTGTTATGAGAGCTTTAACCTTATTATTCCCGACTCAACAAAGATTAGTTGTTTCAAATCCAAAGTAACTTCAGAATATTCTAAGTTACACACACAAAAAGGCTACGTGTTTGATTTCGGCAAAAAGTCAAGTATCCAAACTTGTGCGCTTCTTGTGAGATCGTATAATATTATATATAAATTGAGTTCTTAAGAAGAAAAGCTGAAAAGGTCAAAAGAAGAAGATACGTTTAAGATGAGTTCTATCTAATCACAACTTCATGTAAGTACGTGCGTCATCAAAACCCAATTTTGATGAGCCTCTTTGGCTCATTTTGATTGAACCGAAAGTTGTTTCGGCTTTAAAGATAAGATAGGAAAAGCATAAATGCCTCAGATCATATATATGTTTTTCTCGGAAACCAACCAGAGAGTTTTGCTCTTTTAGGGTTATATGCCTTTGTGTTGTGCATACGGCATCTATCTAATATCTTCATCTTATCATCAGAAACCAGACCTGTATATGCACCGTCCTTCATGAGACAAATTCCTTTTGTAAAAACTAAGCCATCTCAAAGATGGAACTTTTTGCCTTTTTCGACCAAACCATTTGAGGGGAAGATCTTATACGATTCATCTCTATCAATATTACTTCAGATATATATTCTGATAATGTGAGATATTTAAGTTAACTGAGTCTTGTCATGTGGCTACTTGAGACTCGTGTGGTGGGCACGATCTAGGCGCATTGGTCTCATGGTTGTCTCTTTCTGCTATCTCGAGTTGTCTCTTTGATGTTTAGAAGATTATGGCAATAAAATTTTTTTTTTGGCTAAAACACAGGTATCCTCCTATTGGAGGCAATCCTATTCGAGGTACTGTCGGGTACTAAATGTGGACACATCTCACAGCGGGAATTCAAATCTTAGTTCATCACGTTGTGAGAGACTAGTCTCTTCTATTAGACCCAACCCCGTTAGTATTGTGGCAATAATTTTTATTTCAAATTTAAAATCAACGAAGCTTAATATCTCTAAGATAGCCCACTAGCCGGAGTTCTCCTTGAGTATGGACCCAGCCCAAAAAGATTATAATTTTATCCCAACCATTGATTAATTAACCATTTTTCTTTTTCTTTATAAGCGTAGATATCTTCTTATCAAGGATAATCCTATTAGAGATATTATCAGCCACTAAAAGTAGTTGGCATCTAACTTTAGATATCTGCATTTCAACTAATTGGGATTGAGTTCAGTCTCAGTAGAAAAAGCGGCAAGTGTTTTTAAAACAACCACTGGCTTTAATCAGTGTTTATTAAACCAAAAGAAAAATAGTGCAAAAGGGGCTTATAGAAGCGTTTTTCTTTTTCTCTATAAAAGATCTATTTTGCATTAATTATCGTCTTATTTTATTTATTCAAATTTGTATTTTTATTCAAAAAATTGAATTTAATATATGTACTAATTCATCCAATTGTCATCCCTTGAAAAAATGCGAATGCGTAATCACGGTCACTTTAAATCCTGGGAAAGTGATATGGAAAGTCGCTATTAAAGGTTTCTTTAGACCGAATTCAAATGTTATCTTTTTTTTTTCTTTTTCCTTTTCTCCTTTCTTCTGGAGCTATAAAGGTCTGACTTCTTCAACAAGAAATTGCATGCGAAAGAAACTCAAGTCACCTGAATTTGTATCCGCACCATTTAAAATTAGATTCTAATACTCCTCCGGTCCTAAATATAGAACCTTTTTATAGTATAATTTATACTATAAAAATGGTTTTATATTTAAGACCGGAAGAATATTTAACGGACACTTTTATAGGACTTAAATTTAGCACAAAACAATATTTTAATATTTATAAATCATTGATTAATACTTTTTTAGTGCAACTATTTGTCATTAGGTATTAATCACTAATCTAAGCATATCGTTTGGCCATGGCAAAAAAAAAATCACTTTTTTATTACTTGTTCTGCAGTTGACGAAGTAATTCTCCCGGCATGCATGGTTATTATTTTTCGTTTCCATTCAAAAAGTTTAAATAATCAATCTTATTTAAAAAAGTATCAATTTTTTAAAATTGAACTGGGATAAATAAAAAGCAGAGTTGAATTGAATTAAAAGAGAACAATAAAAATAATCTACAAATTAAAATGGAGACAAAAGATAAAAATGGAAGTGAATTTATGTTCGCAGAATGAAAGGAAAGGAATATCGTATCCAAAAAAAAAAAGGAAAGGAAAGGAATATATGTGCGTGTGTGTGTGTGTTTTGTTATTTTATTTATTGGCAACAAAAAAAAGATGGAAAAAGAGGAGGAAGATTGAGGGAAGGTGAGTCACAACTTCCTTCCAAATATTCCTCAAGCTTTAACCGTCACAAAACCATTCACATGATTCTCTTTTTCCTTTTGCTTTATTGCACGCACCTTCCCGAAAGTTAACAATAAGATAAAGCCAATTCAACCATGCACCCCATTTAATTGATCATGATTTCTTTTAATTTTTTTCGTAACCTTTTAAGATATGTCTCTATGTATCCAAGATTTTAGCCTATTGTATTTAAATCATTCTCATTTTATGTCATGTTTTATATACTAAACTAGAAATTTCTCCCTCATACGATGCACAATTAACATATTTGATTAGATTGAAAATTCTAATAAATTGCTTTATTTATTGTACCTCAAGATTTATCTTTTATAAGACTATGATTTTTTTATTCATGCAGATTGAATTTAAATTAGAGATACAGAATTTAGATGGAATAGATGAAAAATTAAAATTATTTATTTATTTATTTCTTCATTTAAGCCTCCAATTGACATACTATTTACTCATGATTTTTTTTCATTTAATTGAATATATTCAAATCCCAATTAAGATATTATTCGAATTCAAAATTAATTATTAATTTCTTCATTTGGGTTTCCAATTGAAATTCTATTTACTTATAATGTTTCCTATTTAATTTAATATATTCATATCTCAACATGCTATTCAAATCTCATTAATTTAATATATTCAGATTCAATGATATCATGCGCTACTCATTTTTAAATGAATTAGATATTATAAGTTTTCAAGAATATAATTGGTTGATTGACTTAAAAATTGATGGGTTTAATTTTGATTTTTGATTATCAATAAAATTATTAATACGCACTATATATATTCTCACACAAAATTCAAAGAACATTGTGTGAAATTTAGTGATAATCAAAATCGCAGGCCATTTCAATTCATTGGATAATTAAGTGTTTAGGGAACAAATGCTTTGAGATTACAAGTACGGTGATTATCAATATCATATCTATTACAGAGAATAAGTGCGCCGCCTGGTCAATTTTTCTTCAACACGTGTCATTCATTTACAAACTCAAATAAGTTATCACATATAGATGTGTTGAAATTATGAAATTTATGAGACTATTTAAACACCTTACAAATAGAGAATATTTTATTTAGCAAAAAAGAAAGTCAGTTTTATTAATCACAAAAAATTAGTACAAACACCAATGACAAAAAGGCGAACCATACAAAAAAACTCAAAACCCAAAACCAAAATAAAACCTGAAGATAAGAGAAGTTTTGAAGTCAAAAAAATTAAATGTGTATCGTATAACACAAATTACAACTAAATAATTTTTTTTTAAAAGAAAGAAAGAAACAACAAGGGCTTTTTGACAAAAAAAAGGGAGAATCCAAAAAAATACTTTTAAATTTCAAAATTTCCAATCAATTTTATTTGCTATTTGTATACTTCAATAACAATTGATAACATTTCAGGAACAAATGTCAACACATTCTTGATTTGAAATTTTAAAAGTATTTTTTAAAATTTTTCCAAAAAAAACTAAATTAAAATAAAAATTCCTATAATAAGCGACTCCTGGGAGGAGCCTATCTATTTTTTTTTTTTTTGGGGCCAAAGGAGGACCCTGTCTAATTAAGGGCTTTCTCCACGCTTTGTTTCCTTGAGAGGGCATTAATATCTAAAATTAAATATATTTTTTGCCATCAGTATCTAAAATTAAATTGATAATTAGATCTAAATTTGACAAAGACTTTGTTTTCTGGCCTGAATCATGTATCATTGTTTCTTATGTAAAGTTGACTCATTTATTGTGTAACACATGATTAAATTTGTTTTGAGTCATTTATGAAAATAAAAAATAATTTGAGCCATCAACATTTTCTTTCAGTGCGTCACAACTACAAATGAAAAGGAACTCATCATTACATCTATAACTTTGTTTTATTAGATAAATTCAACAATAATGCAAATTCTTTGTTAGAATCAAAGAAGATGATTAACCCATCGTTGTGTTTATAAAGATTAACCCCAAGACAAATCCTCTACAAATGATCGAAATTCACATGTCTTTCAAAGTAGATATGCCAACATCAAACCAGGGAAAAGGCAATAAAACAATTAAATGACAACTTAAATATATATTATTATATGTAATAATGATTAATCAGAGACAGAGCTGCGGGCTACATGCAAAATCTTGCCGCCGCCTCAGCATTTTACACACCAACCAAAAAAAAAAAAATTACACATTGCTGGGTATTTTAATACGAACCAGCGACTCCATTACACTTTACTGATACATTTTGACAAATTCCCCAACCCCACCCAAAAATTTTAAATAAAAAAAAAATCTCACATAACCATAAACGTCACTTTCACTCTTTTTTCCTAACTGCCCCTACTCTTACCGTTGTTCCTATTAAGTTCTAGCTAACCTCAAACTTCCCCGGTAAAATGACCGAAAGCTGAAGGCGTGTGAACCTGGACCGGACAAGTTAAAATTACAAAAAGAACCATTGGCGGAAAGGTAGATATATATGGCTAGACACGGAAATTCCTGCCCATGAATGTCTGGCCAAACTGCCAATTAGGGGGTGCCACGTTCCAGGAGGTGGAGGTCCGCCTGTCGCTGCCGGTGACTCTAAACGAAAGAGCCTGGCCTCCCAAATCGGCGTTGGATTGCCAGTTTTGCCCCCAGTTGCGAGTCATGCTCATCCAGTTTGTCTTAGATCCTTTGATGCTTGCGCGCACAATATCCCCTGCACCTCCAACGTTGGTGATCAGCACCAAGTTGAAGTAACGGAAGCCGTTGATCGTGAATCTGATTCCCCCTCTCTTTCTGCATGCCACTCTGTATATAAACAAACAAACAAATAAATTTTACTTTAACAGAATAACCTGATTTTTGGTTAAAAAAATGATGCCTATTTTACTAATATGCCCTTGAGTCCAAAGAACCAGATTTACGTGTTGGAATGATGACTATTAACATGACCGGAAGGCTGTTGGCGGGTTGTTGCTTGTTACAGTTGGAGGTGAATTTGGTAAATTGAGGTGGGGATGAATAGGCGTTTGAAGGCGAAATAAGGAGAGGGGCTTTCACATTCTTTGGCTGGTTCTGTGCAGGAAAACGACGAGAACTTGAATCGGGGGGTTTTTTTTTTTCTCAGTAGTTTGTTTTCCAAGAAAATCTGCTGAAAAGAACAAGAGCAAGATTTTCAACATCTTTTGCTATTGTTGATCTGTTTTGTCTGGTTCTTCGGTATCGAAAATGGAAGAGAAAAACTGCGGATGCGGATTTCATCATGCAGGGAACTTCGGTAGCGAGAATCAGAGATTCACTTTTTTTTGACTCGTTCAGGAGTCAGCGGAATAAACAACTCAGTTCAACACGCAGCACCAAAAGAAAAATAATCACTAGTCAATGAATAGTTGAATACAGGGTGTTCTGATCATCATCATAAATTATGAGATTGATTCAGACCATTTCAAAATAACAGCAAAATTAAGGAAGCATGTAAAGAAAAAAGCTAATTCACTATCTTCTTAATGTTTGAATGTTTCGCTCTCGTTTCTGAAGATCCAACAGAATATGGTAATACATACACACACAGTATAGTGTTAAAAAGAGTATCCAAACAGAACAGAGAAGTAAGAGGAGGAAGCGGTCAACTTACCGGCGGTAGCTGACGGGAACGATTCCGGCGCGGTATTGAGCGATCTTAAGGAAGACAGGCATGGCGAGATCGAAGTGCGATCGAGGGGGGTTACACCATCCTCCATTGTCGCTGGAGAGAGCGAAGTTGGGAGGGCAGAAATTGGTGGCAGTGACAATAATGGCAGGACTTGCAGGGTTGCACCATTTCTGGTCCTGGACGCACTTGATCTCGAAGCACGCACCACAGCTGAGGCCATTGTTGAACAGAGCAGTGCTCAGAGCCGCTGTGTTCACTCCATAGCCCTGGCTGTACAGATTCCCGTACCCACAAGCACCACCTGAAATCATTAAAGTGCCAAATAATTAACAACGCTCATTGTGTGAATTGTTTGACGAACATGGAGGAAACCTCTGTCATGAAGGAAATTGAGCTCAAATTCAAGGTAAAAGAGAACGAATCCAGAAATTGTAGGTGCAATAATAATGTTTAAGAAGAGAATAGCAAGAGTTAGTACCCATGGTTCCAGAAGCATCACTGCCGCCATAGAAAGTGGCGTGAGCCGCGAGCCATGGACCGCCGGTGTAAACTCCGGGGATTCGAGCAGTGGCGGCGGCGAAAAGAGAGAGAAATGTGGCAATGCAGAGAAGAGGCATTGTGGCCATTGTAGAGAGAGAGAGAGAGAGAGGTTTCTGGGTAGGTTGTGTTGGTATGAAGAGAAATGGAAGGTGGTGTGAAGTGTGAAGGAGAAGGGTACTTATGGAGGGAGGCCAGGGGGCGAATCTTGTCGCTTTTCTCCAATTACTTTCTTCGTCTCTTCCCCTCGTCACATGCATTATACTACACTACTCCTCCCGATTAGTTAACTAATTTGATGGGATTAAAAAAATTAAATTAACTATTTAATTTAAATAAATATCATGTAATGTTTCTAAAAATATATCTATTTTAAATAAATATCACGCAATATTCTTAAAATATATTTTTCTGGTTCTAAATATAAGACTTTTATACACGTGCGTATATTTAGGACCGGAAGGGTATCTATTTTAAATAAATATCACCTGATGTTTCTAGAATATATCTATGTGATATTAAATTATATGTTAAATTATAAGATAGATAAACTAGTTTTAAAAAAAGTTACAAATATGATTAAAAAAATGAATTAAAACCTTACATTGAGAATCAAAATCAGCTCAGCTCCTGTATTTAGGACGAAAGGAATATAAATTTTGAAAAATAAGAAAGTTAAATCATAAGTTAAGCAGATCTGTGTTAATTTTTGAAATTATGTGGATATTTAATTGATTTTCCTATTTGATACAATATTCTAGTAATTGTTTTAAAGTTATAGAGGCATCCTTGTGATTTAAAAATTTATATAAATATACGAATAACTTATTCCCAATAAAAGAATTTTCAAGAATTTTTTGTATAATTTTTAATAAATTAATATATAATCCTCTTTAATTACAATTTTTAGTCCGTGTTGCTTACTACCTTTTCGGGATAGCCAAATTGAAGTGTGAAGAGAATATACTCCTCCGGTCCTTAATATAGGACCCAATTGGTGAGTTGATTTTGGTCCTAAATATAAGACCCATTTCTCATATTTATCAATTTTCTCTAAATTACCCCTATAGATACTCCCTCAATCATAATCAAGTGTAGAAGAGGGAGGGGGTATTAAGAAAGATGATTATGGTGTTTTAGGAAAAACATGTCACATTTTTTATAATTAACTAACTTACCTAACTTTCTTAATCTAATCAAATTAGTTAAATGGGTCTTATATTAAGGACCGGAGGAGTAATATGTTACTTGACATTCTTCTCTCTATTTCTGTTTTTTTCATATCTTATTTATCCTTTTCCTTAAAGCTTCAATTTAATTTTCGTTTAATTTTCAACTGATCTCGATCCTATACATTAACAAGAACATTTAAATTTATTAATTGTTAAAATTAAAAATAATCAACCAGCAACAAATAATAAAGTAATAGAACTACTTCAATTCACATTATAGGCTGTAAATTTCCATATAATTGGAAGATTGTGGGTTTAATTTCATTTATAACCATCATGTTGTTACTAATTATCTCTTTAATTAAAAAAAATATGATGCCTAGTCTCACACGTAATTAAAATGGAAAGGACTTAGGTCATTCACTTTTTTTTTTCCCCTTACTTCTGTATTTAATTACATTTTACTTTAAAATGAATTTTGCAAACTTGAAGATTTTTTTTTTTACTTTATTTTGTTTGGTACGTAAGAGGAAAATAGGGCAAGTTGGAGTTCAATTTGAGCGTACAGACAAGTGAAATCACATGATTATCCATATCGGAATAAAAGCATCTCAAAATCGAATTTAAGATATAATAGAGAAGACCACCTTTTGATTTCACAATGAAATCTAAAAATGGTCCTCCATGTCTTCCACAAGCATGTTGTCAAATCCATTGAGCTTCCTTATTCCGCAGAGAAAGTATAGTAAATCTCTGCTTTTAATGCAACTTTGTTCTGAAAAATATATATTATTTATAATATAAAAATTAGATAACTAATTAGTGAGTATTAAAAAATTAATTAAATTAGTTATTTATAATAAATGACTGTTGTTTTCCCTAAAGTGCATCTATCAATTTTGTATATTGAAATATATTTTTATGTAAACTCCTTAACATATGTAATTATTATAAGAATTATTTAGATACAAGATGGATAAATATTAAAAACAAGATAAATTTGAATATTATATTTATGACCAAATTGAATCTCCGACTAGCTTTTGTATTAAGAACAAAAGATAATATATAAATATATTATTGCTAAATTTATTCGTGTTATCAAAATAAGACGGTGAATCATTCTTAATTTGCCAATAAAAAAATGGATGAATGACAGTGAACATAATGGAATCGTTGCAATGCTAAGCTAAGTTCTTTTACGAGTTTTATTAACCGCAATAATTATTTTCTTATATTAAAAATAAATATGAAAGATATTGTTGAATTTTTTGTGGGGGGGCAACATCTGCTTTCTCTCAACTTGTTTCATGTAGAACAAAAATCATTCCCATAAAAAAAAGAAAGAACAAAAAGCAATTAGTCGCCGTTTGGACTAATTTAATTAATTTGAAGCGTTACCATTAACTTTTTTTAATTTTTTTTTCTTTTCTCATTCGCAAGTGGGTTATCGTCAATCATTTAATATTAAAACTAATATTCAATAAATTATCATTTCTTTCTTGTTTTAAGGCTAAATTATCCCATTAAATTTTTAAAAAAAAATTGTTAATAGGTTTTTTCGAGGGTTTTTTTTTTTTGGCCTAAGCTGTTAGTGTTTGTACTTCAACTTTATTTTTTCATATTTATAAAATAGCCTTTCTTTGGAGGGGAGAGAAGAACGGAATCAATTTTTTTTTAATATATCGGAATCAATGTTACTCCTCCAGTCATAAATATAAGACCTTTCTACTAGTGTATATAAAGATTTTACATTTAAAACCGGAAGAGTATTATTTTATTAAATACCAATATGAAAAAAAGAAACAGAGAGAAAGAGAGAGAAGTGCATACAAAAGGACAGGTGAATAAAGCACATAGTGGTTTAAGTCTTTATTAGTTTATTAATATTTTTTCTTTTGACTTTATAGCTAGAAAAGACACAAACAGCATAAGATAAAAGTAATCACGAAACCCAACAAGAATTGATCTAGTTGATAAGGAGTTGGTTCATAACCTATAAGGTCGTGAGTTTGAATCCTGCTGCTGATGTGAGGATCCTGTTGATGAACAATCTGTAAATACTTCTGTAAGCACTCTCTGAACCTAGATATATGCCGTAGTCTAGTGAATCTCTGAGACCTAACTCATCTAAACTTTCGTTTACCAAAAAAAATCACGAAACGTTGGAAAGTAAAAAGGAAAGGAATCAAAGTACTTTCACCAAACAAACAAACAGAAAAACAAGAAAGAAAAAGAAAAGAATCAGAAAACAAGACTAACTAAAACCTTGACATTGAATGAGAATTCATTATGTTACTAACTAACTAGAAAAGGTGCAAGGAAAACGCAAGCCTAGAGCCTTGACACTGGCTATAACAAAAAGAGAGAGGGCAAGCTGTCATAAAAGCATATTGGAATAATAATTTATATATATTCAAAACAATTAATTAACGTAAGGGAATAATAATTTATATATATTCAAAACAACTTATGTTGGCATGGGTAATGGGAACCTTCATCACACCTAATCAAGTGGTTGAAAATTTAAATTTTAACACACCACTATAAAAATCTAATTAAAAGATGTCTTTTTTTGATATCAGTCCATTTATTCTTATTAAGATGAATAAAGTAGAACCCATCATTTTAATGTTATTTTTCTAATGCATTCAGCACTTTCTAATATTATTTTTTAGTTAATTATACTCAACACAATAATCTTATTTATATTTTGAAATGTTAGATACACCAAAAATAATATTAAGATACTGACTATAATTAGAAAATAATATCAAGCTGTTGTATGTTGTTATAGCCTAATAAAATTATCAAATAATAATCTTATTTTGTACAGAAACACACACACACACACATATCACTCTCTAGTTTCTATTGCAAAAGTGTCGAAGTGTGCTAAAGACAAATACACCCTCGTGTATCCTCAAAATTAGTGTATATATCTTTATAAATCCTCAAAATTCACAAACCGTCAAATAAAAGATGAGTACCTTAAGTTGTAAAAAAAAAATCATAAAAAACCGCCAAAATAAAAAAAAATTATAAATAGAGACCCATAATAATATTAGCATGGGTTTTGACAATAATTCTTATGAATGAGTAATTTTTTTTATTTTGGTGGTGTTTTTTACGATTTTTCAATTGTAAAAGGGTTTTTTTTTTTTTGGGAGGCCTCTCAACCCGTGAGCATGTTGTTTTGGTCCCTGCGACATGTCGTTTTCTCTTTTATTAACAGTTAATTTAAACACCGTAGAATAAATGGATCAACAAGTGAATGCTTCACTTCTTATATTTATATTTTGCCATGTCATTAAATTACTCTGATCCACCTCACCCCCTTCTGGCCAAAGCAGAGCTCTAGCTAACTTGACATTTCATATTGTTAAAAAAGTTGACACGTAAATTTCTATAATTTCACTTTATTCTTAATCAGTCTTTATTGAAAAATGATCACCTCACCTTTTTCCCCCCTTTAAATTTGATTTTTTTTTCCGTTCATTAGGGTGGTCTTTGACTAATATATAATATTTGGTGGTGAATATGAAGATATTGGCAGAGTAGGGGGAGAAATTAGCTGAATTGAAATTGCTAGTTTGTTTATTGGTTTTGTGTAAGGGATATGTTCTTGGATGTATGATAACAAACTGCCCATTAATTTTACTTTTAGTAGGCATCATGCTTTAATGGCTCTTTCTCAGTTTTGGACGGCTAATATGAAAACAGGTTAGTTTTGATGGAATATACTTTTTTGGCTGCATGTTTTGTTGTTTCACCGTTTGTGGTTGATTCCTTTGAACCACTTTAAAAGGAATTCGGATCAATGTTTTGGAGTTGCATTAACCAATCAATTAGAATTTGACTTTGATTGTAAGAAGTTCCCCAGTTCTATGGTTTTTGGTTCTTTTTTTTTTTCACTTAAAAGTTCAATCAGGTTGTTGATTGAATTACTTACTTCTACCAAAATTTTTAATCACTAGGCTAGATAACTAATTTAGATATATTAAAAAAATTATTTAAGTTGATTATTTGTAACAAATGTGTTATTCTTTTTAATTATGTATATTGATTGAAACCACCATTTGATAGAAACTACCATTTGATAGAAACTCTTTATAATAAATACTCATCTAATGCTAAATATAAGACTTTTTATAAAACTAATCAAGTTGTTACTGGTACAAGGGTCTTATATTTAAGACTAGAGGAATAGAAATATTTTAAAGAAAATTTATAAATTTAGGATACAAAATATATTAAGATCTTATATTTAAAATTAAATCTAATTTTTAATTATTTATTATATTAAAAATAAAAATGTTAGTAAAGGGCTGGGTCCTTGTGCTCTAATTGCTACAGGTACATTTTATTTGTACTTTTAAAAAAAATCCTTCTTTTTATTTTTATTTTTATTTTTTCACTAATATTTTTATTATTGGAGGGCATAAATTAAGAAGTGTTCAAGTAGAAACTAAATCATAATTTTAAAAATAATTTTATAATAAGTAGGTGTATAAAAAAAATTTTATCTTGACTTCCTGAAGATATTTTTTTTAAAAGTGATTTTGAAGTATCCACAGCTGATAATGCCGCATGGCGCTGGTGCAGGGGAAGGGATGGGGCAGGGTGACACGTAAGACATGGGAACTTGAGAAGCGACCCACTTACCGACCAACCAGATCTTGAAGATATTCCACGTCAGCACGTGATCTCACAACCAACCACACATGCACACACGCCTTCACACGTGAACCTGCCACCAACAGCGCTGCCGCATGTCTTCTCAGTTAATAGGATCAAATTCAAATTATTCAATCTTTTATGAAAAAATATCAAAAAAAAATTATTAAAATTTAAAATTTAAAATCAATATTAGTTACTATACTAAAAAAAACAAATAACAATATATTCTTATAGTAATTCCTGATTTGAAATTTTAAAATTCAACAATCATTTTTTGAAAATTTTACCATCTTTATTCCCCTATTTTTTCCAATTGAATTAATAGAATTGTTATTTTAAAATTAAAAAGAAAAATACTACCTCCGGTCCTAATTATAAATACAAAGCGATTCTACTATTTTCTCATTCCTGAAACTCAATATAAAAATTTAATCGTAACACATTTATACCTATCGCGAAAAACTAGTAATTTGTTTAACAAGTCCTTGAATTATTTTCTAGAAGTTGATTGAAAATTTGAAACAATTACCTTTGCGGTTTTACCCTTTCTCCCCAAAGCTTATCATGATATAGTAGTACTTTAAAAGAGATGGGACGGCCAAACATTTGCCCTTTTTATTTTCAAATGCCAGCTATGCAAACCTTTTAAGGTAATTAATTTGTGCAGATGACTTACTAAAAAAAAAAAAAAAGGATATGTCGTCCCAACAATGCATGTGAACCTATCCTCTCACTCTCTCTCTCTCTATATATATATATATGAGATATTATCTATATACTCCTCCGGTCCTAATTATAAGACCCAATTGACTTATTTGAGGAGATTAAGGAAGTAAGTTAAATTGGTTATTTATAATAAATAAGTGTTGTCATTTCTAAAATATCCTTGCTAATTAAGTATATTGGCTAAAACTATCATTATTAAAAGGATTATCTTGGAAAAAATGCATAAATATAAGAGAGAAAATGGATTTGGTCTTATAATTAGGATCAAATAAAAAGTCAAATTGGGTCTTATAATAAGGACCGGAGGAGTATTAAGAAAGAATAGCATTCAGTTCAAGGAAGTTCAGGGAAGAGATTTAATTATTTTAGTAATTAAATTTTTTCATTACGACCTCTTGATAATTCTCCCATATATTGATGTATTTTACTTCGTTTGAGATTTTCATGAGACTACAAGCTACAAAACAAGACGGCCATCCCAAAATCAAATAATTGAGATCTTCTTTGGACCGTTTGGAATAACTTACAAATAGGTTTTTAATTATAATTTACGAAATACTAAATAAATATGTGAGATAAGTTTTGTCTTAACTTATGTAAAACGTGTTTATAAGTATTTTTAAATGTTATTTCAAATAGACCTTTTATATTTTTCTCATAAACATTATAGTGGGCCATGTATAGTCGGCCCAACAGTACCAATAAAGTTTGTGATGAACTTAAAGAAATGTGTTGGGGGAAAAATTAAGAGTGCATTTGCTTGAAAAATTGTACAAACCTTGTTGGAAAATAAAACTTTTAAGTTGTCGTTTGAGTTGAGTTGTGTTAAAATTATATAATTACTTCCTTCCTATTTTGAAAATAAACGTGAACGTGTCTCAAACTAGAAATATAAGCTATCTTAATGAAATTTACTCAAAAAATAATTATAAGCTGCTCTGTTCGATTCTTATTGTATAGCACCTTTTAGTCAGAACTAATTAATGATAGATAATTAAGTTATTAATATTATATTATCTAATAATGAAATGAATTTATGATTTTGCCCCTATGTAAATAGAAAACTTTTGTATGTACCTTACATTCTCCCTCAAATTGAATTTCAATAGTGATGATATTTGATGTAGATTTGTTTTGAAAGTTTTCACTCAAAATTAATATTGTCTTGAAATTTTTTTAGTTCAATATCGTTCTAAAAATTTCAAAACATAGCAATGTTGATGGATAAATTTGTACCTTAATCTATTGAAAAAATTTAATTAATATCTCAACAAGTAAATTATAATAACTACCACTCATTTTTCTAGAAAATGTCTTATTAACAAGGACGAGAGGGAATAATTAACAATAAAGGTAAAAGTTGTAGGGTTTGACTTTTTGAAAATGCAGTATAAGACACTATTCTTCGAGGTTGAACATCACATGGGTACCATGATTATATATTGGAAATAAACATAGAGAGAGAGAAATTATTGTCTTCAAAGTTGGATTATGGTTAATGATTAATGAAAATGAGGTGCACTAATAGAGATCTAATCATAACTTGTTATTTACTTAAAAGGGGATGCATGTGCGGCCAACCCCTTTCTATAAGCCATTTGCTCATAATTAATTAGCAACATAGCTTCTCATGTGTAACAGTGCATTAATTATCACGTTCACTTGAAACATAAGTCTCCCTAAATTATTATTACTTGCTTCGTACCATTTTGGAAAACATGCATGAAGAATCTATATAAAATTTATATTCATCAATATAAAACTAGTACTATTCAATCACAGCCTTTTATATCATGTAAATATCACATTAATGTAAAACGGGAAAAAAAAATACCAGAGATCAATCTAATGGTATGTTTATTGAAAAAAAAAAAAAAAGGAGATTCTCAACTTATTTTTTGCCTTAAAGCAAACGTCATTATGAAGAAAACAAACCAAGGTAAGGTACATAAGGCTATATATATATATATATATATATATATATATATATAAAGCATCAATTTGGTTGGCGAATTTTTTTTTCCAATCTTTGTTTTGTGTGCATCAATGTATTTCTTATGCTTAAATTAATATTGTATTAATTATATTTACCATGCATCTTGAGAATTATAGTTAAGCCCCAAAAATTTAATTTAATAACAGATATTTCGTTAGATGTTACTTGAAAAATGAGTTACGAGTACACATTTGAATGGTTACACTTATATGAATCATAATTGCAAATAACTCAGAGTAACTTATTATACTACTTTTTTTGGTCTGAACTTATTATAATACTTAATTGGACTTAATTACTTTCTAACAAGAATAAAAACTAGTATAAGACGCATTTTACGGAATTAATTAAAGAAAGGGTAGCATATATATATATATATAGTACGTACATTTAATTTGATTGTTGTGAAAGCAAAGGAGTGTTATTTTAGAGGCCAGTTGGTCCGTACCACTTGAAGGTACGAAGGAATGCACTTATATTTTGTCGGTGTATTATGTGTCTATATTTATACTATCTACGTATATCATGTTTTGCCAAAATTTATTTATTTTTTTAATTAATGGTCTCTTTTGACTTTGACTTTATGACCAAAAACTTCTCTGGGCTTGGGGAAAATTGGGAAACTGTATCTAATTTTATAAGTTACTTTCAGTATTTTTTTTAATTAGAACTAAGAAAATCTAATAAAATCAAAATATTTATTACTTTGATCATATTAAATACATTTTTTTAATTTTCCTACGTCAACATTAAATAAGGATAAAAGAGAAGTTTTATAATAAATAAATTCATATACTGCCTTATAAAAAGATTGCACAGTTTCTCCTTTTAGAGGAACTATATTTATTATATGGTGTTATTTTATTTTGGAATGTTATGATAAACCTTATTAACTTTTTACATATACATTCATTTATTATCAATAAAATTATGTTTTCATAGCAAATGGGACTAAAGAGCTTCCACTGAACCGAGAAAAAGAGTTCGTTTTGATGGTCTACATCAGACTGAAACAAATACAATGATTCTATCCATCATACTGACACTTACGAGCCATGTAATGATAAAAAAAATTAAACAAACATGCCTCATCTTGCAACAATTCATATTTTCTATAGGCTTATAATGTCTCGGAATGCCAACTATCTGAAGTGGAAAAAAAACAAAAAGGGCTCTAATTTCTGTTGTGAGTGTTAGCTCTGATTCTTTTCTCTGGTACAAGGATACAGGGATTTTCCTATTCTACTGACTTTGATTTGAATTCAATCTTTCAGGTAAAAAAAAAAGATTTGAATTCAATCTCCTTTCAAGTGGCTATACTACAGACAACATTATGAGAGTGCTTCAAGGGGAGAAGATAGGAACTGTTTGTCATAAAGATCTTGGGAAGCCGATTACCGGTCAATGCAAGTGCCATAAACAGCAATATCACATTGATCATATTCAACTCTATCTAAGAGATGGGTACTTTTCCCCCGAAACCCACTTCTCTTGTGCCACCATCGTTTTTATTGTCAATTGTGATAAATCACTACGTAATTCAGATTTTCCCCCGCCTATTCTCCATCATGCTTTCAAATACTTTATTGAATCCCATCTGGTCCTCACTGTTTAAATTAACACATTGGAAAATGTAAAAAGAAGGAAAAAAAACAAGGATTGGAACTGGAACATCTACCCAAATTCATATCCCATTCCAACTAAGCAACGGTAGAACACGAGATTAAATTGAACAGATATATTCAATTAAGACAAACTTACATAGCCGCATACATATCAAGCTAAAATATATTACAGCAGAAAAATCCTCCACTCAATATATTGGAAAAAAATAAATATATCAATAAACAGATTGCCTCAAGTTCCGCATTACCAGCTCTTGCCGGACATATCCTGACCATATCATTAGAACAATAAGGAAATGTACAGGAGAGGGGCAGAGGACCTTCTAACTTTGTGGGACCGTACGGTTGGAGAAAAATTGGTAAAGAACTGTACACTAGCAGGATAATAGAGAAGAGCTAACTTTGCTGGTTAGGATGTTTCAAAATTTCTCTGCCAGAAATGACACTTCAAAATTTGAACAGCTCAACGAGTCTGAGGTTGAAAATTTGTCAATGAAAACAAGATTAGGCTGCAGCCCAGAGTGTGAGCTGAGCATAATAAGTGAATGAGAAGAGCCTGCCGCCCCCATCGGAGCAACGTTCACCATGTCAGTCAACTGAAACATAGAGCCGCTGGGAACACACACAAGTCTGTTTACCTTTTGTGGAAGATTCTGGACATTGAACAAGTCCTCTACAGAAAATATTAAGGCTCTTTGGTCAATCTTTTATGATCTCCTTCAGAGAAAGTACGCCATCACGTGGATGTGCTTCTTCCACCTTAACTATTATCTCATCCCCTATCTGAGTTCCAACAGACACCCAAGCAGTAGCTTGAAATCCAACCTGCAAAAGATAAAGAACTCATGCATTCAGGACAGTCTTGAGCATCCGCCAAATGGGCTTACGCCCTATCTTGAATGAGAACGTAATGGGGGTCTAGAAGTTTTCCTTCTAGATTTTTGCTTTTGTATTTTGCTCCCTCTTGTAATTCTTTTCTTTTTAAAAAAAAAAAGTTGGGGGGGGGGGGTGGAAGAAAAGGGGGCAAAAAAAAAAAAAACCCTCAAAATTAGAAGAGCAGTTTTAGAATTTCATCTTGTGTATGTGTGACAATTTTGTCAGAATTAGCATCACAGCAACTGATTTACTTGGTCCCTCATTTGTCCAAATGAATCTTATCATAGGACTACACAATATGATCACGCTAAAAGGAAATACATAATTTTAAACATATGATCCAATGTCAATTTTCTACTAGCTTTTGACAACAGATAATATAATATTCAGTCTTCCAATGAGTATCAAGTCTCTAGCCCAGCATCAGCAATAAAGATGGCCTCCATAAAATCAATCGATTGGACCAGGAGAAAGCGATGATGGACCACAATTCATAATTCCTCCCATAATAGCACTTATGAGATTGACATAAATAACCAAAATCTAACTGCACAAACTTGCAGCTATTATCGCCTAATATTGGTCAGATAGCACATGATCGTTTCAGGTGGTGCCATCAGCTGCCACTGCGACAATCATTACATAATATGGAATATGGACTGCCAAATAGAAAATATAATGCAATCACAAACTGCTTACCTCAGTCAACAGTAAGGCTGCAATTCGATCTTTTATAAATTTAAGGATCAGCGCATGATATCTTTTCTCTTTAGGTTGTCTCCGTAAATATTCTAATGTCCAATATCGAAGGCTACTGCTGCAAAGCTTTCTTACTGTTCTAAATCTGTCATTTACAACAGCAGCTATTCCTTCAAGCTGACCAGCTGAAAAAGGGGGAGGCTCACCCTTTATAAATGCCTTTACCTGTAGAAAGCATAAAAACCCCACACAAACACACAAAAAACCAAAAAAAGGATGTTAAAAACTCAGTGAGAAAGACCTTTGCTTATCTCTCTTACGTATGGCTGTCACATTCGGACAAAAGAAGGCTAAGAGATGTAAGAAGCAAAGGATTGACAGCAAATATCTCAAAATCAATATAGAATATATTGCAGGAGAAAAAAAGCAAGTTTGCCACCGTCTAGATTTCAAAATGTTACTCAAAATATAGAAGATTGCCATATTGCCCTAAATAGACTACCAGAATCCAACTAGTGGCTCTTTAGAGTTTCACCTTCTACACTTTTGCGATTTCTTCATGTTTCATTCTCTGCACCTACATTGTTTGCATTTTCACTACATACATTTTGCAAAAACATATCAAAACCAGTGATCAAATGCCTAAAACAGCCAAGTGGTTGCAAAGATACCACCTTTGATCCTTAATATAATACCTAATTGACTAATTTGAGACAATTAAGAAAGTTAACTAAATTAGTTATTTGTAATAAATAGATGTTTTTCCTAAAATGACCTTATTAACAATATGTGTTTGAATTACATATTGATGGTAACTCCTCAACATATGCAACTACTATAGGGATTACTTGAGAGAAAAAATAGATAAATATTGAAGACAAAGTGGATTGGGGTCCTATATTTAGGATCAAATTGAAAGTCAAACTAGCTCTTATATTAAATTAGGAGGCAGTATTATTTCTTGGGTTTGATGTTTTCTTTTCTTTTTTTTCCCCTCTCTTTCCTTTCTCTCTCTTTTTTTTCCTTCTTGGGGGGGGTGTGGGGGGTGTTGGTGGGAGAGATCCGATCAAGCAGTGCCAGAAAATAGGACTATAAGATAGGCCAGCAGGTACAAAATTGAGCCAGGCATTTGCCCCACCTAATTTGTGCGCATTGCTACATAAACTAATACAAGTTGGAAGATGATAAAATCTTCTAGCAGGCCTTTAGCGGCAATAAGGTTTGAAATCTATTTACACCCAGCATGATTGAAAGGGACTTGCCTGATAATGTGCAAGAAGATCCAAATATCTACGTATGGGAGATGTAAACTGAACATAACCAGGAAGTCCCAAAACCCCATGGCGCATTGGCTTCCTGAAATCAATTTCAGCAGCACGCATTACTCTGACCAAGGCAAAGCTCCTAACGGGTCCTTCTGGAAGGTGTGCAAATTCAGACATGTCTATGTCTGACTGGGGCTGTCCCCTGTAGGGTAAAGGGATGCCATTCTGGGATCCAATTGTAGCTATGGCTTCACCACAAAGTATCATCATCTCAGAGACTAATCGCATTGCAGGATCAGCTTGGTTTTCAACATAAAGATTTATTGATGGTTCAGGATCCTCTGGATTAGGCACTTTAATGCGAGTTTCTAGGGCTGCTGTCTCAACTGCACCCTGAGTAAAGGGAGAGAAAGGGAAGTTAACATATCAGAGGCCAACTCTAAAAACAAAACTTTGACCAACGAAACAAATGTTGACACAAGCAGCTTGTCCATGTCTTAATGGATTGACAAACAAAAGCATGTTTGATGTTACCATTACCAAGACCAATTATTAACTAATCTAAACAAATTGTAAATAGATAACAAATTACCTAATAAATTCAATTCCTTATTGTTTTGCTAATCAGGTAGTTATAAAATCTATTGATTCCTGGAATGAACCAAAGTTCCTAAAGAATGTAAAATTACCAAATGAATTAATAGGTACTGATGCTTTATAAGTAATTTGGTATAAAAAGGTATGAATAGAGGATATTGGTAAGAATGCTAAATAGATTTTAACAGAATGACGGAAATGTTTTCTTTTATAAAGTATCCCCTCTGCCTCATCATCAGACACTTCCCATTTTGACAAGACTTCAAATTGTATCACAGGTAATGGACTTGAGCTAAGAAACAGCTTCTTTTAGTGGCAGCAGTAGCCACATGTACTGCAATCATTGGGCTAAAGATATTATGATTTTAGTTCACTACCAAAAACACAAAAAACAAATGCCCTGAAACACAACTACTGCAAACTGAACCAACCAAAACCAACCTGCTGGCGTCGCCAATTTAATCGAAGATTTGCAGCCTCAGACAAAATTCTGAGTTCCACCTCCTCCTCGAGGTTTAAATGAAGTAGCTCAGATGCACTTTCATATGTCAGCATGTACGTTGGCTTAATGACTGAATTATCCACTGAACATTCTGCAATGCTGTTACATCCACATAAGATTTCATTGACTGATCATTTTCCAAATCTCCCCTCTCTATATCTATCTATCTATATCCCTAATGAAAAAACAATCATTTTGGAGGAAAGAATGACGATGAACAAAGGAGAAGGAACCCTTTTAAGAAAAAAGGAAAAGAAGAAAGTAGAGCTTTCCTATTCCTAAGCAAATTCAGAGAAAGAAACTCCCCTTCCAGCAAGAAAAAGGGGAGCGTGATAAAAAAAGCATTAGCAAAATATATCTGTTGTACATGTACAAGATATTCCCTCTGATTTTTTTTTATAAGAGCCTGAAATTTGAATTGTTTTGGTCTTTTTTATAAGAGGTTGTTTGAACATTTAATGTGTCTTTACCATTTTTTTTTCCATAATTAATTTTATATATTGCATAAATTAGAAGGTTGGTAACTTGGCATACCACACTCTCTTTCATACTTTCTCTCATTATTTCTCTATTTCTCTCTCTTACTTACCCTCTTATACATAAGGACATACTTGGGATTTTTTTTTTTTTTACATATTTATTGCTTTTAACTAATTTTAGCTGTTTTCTTAAACCGTGTAATTTAGTTATCAAGCCCTTAAAAAAAGGATCGGAAGGAGTACCATGTTATCTGCAGGTCCAGAAGATGACGAGAAATAAACCATGAACTTAAAACTTAATGAAATATTGAAATACATCCCAACTTTTACAGATTTACGGCAGGAAGACATCTCAATCAACCCGAGTCTTTCAAATAAATAGTTTCTATCAGACGGGTTTCCTTGATTGTGAATGTCATGTTCTACAAGTATGTTATCAGGTGAATTTATACAAGATGCATTCCATAACCTGAAAATTTACCTGCCATCATTATGCAGCACAATGGATACTGTAACAGCATTACAATGCTCTCCTTGTCTCAAACTCATACCGCCCATGGCAAGTTTATCTGGAAACATAGGATACGTGGCAGTCGGCAAGAAAACAGAAGTCCCTCTTCTCATAGCTTCCCTACATGCCATGAGGTACACAAAAGAATAGAGTTAGCACCCAATCTTCAATGAAATATCTATTTGAATCTCAACCATATACCTGTCCAAAATACTTCCAGGTCGAACATATCTAGTTGGGTCTGCAACATGTATCCAAACTTTAAGGCGGCCATCTTGCAACCTTGTCGCACTCAAAGCATCATCAAGCTAAAAAAGATTGTTCGTTAATAACATTAAACGGTATAGGCCATCTAGTTCTCAAAGCCACACAAAACAGAAGGGTCTTTACCTCGTCAGCTTCATCAACATCAATGGCATAAACCTTCAAATCAGTAAAATCCTTCCTGTTAATCTGAAACCAATAACATCAAAGCATTTAATTAGGACAGACTTGTAAGATGTAACCAAGTAGAGAACAACCAAATGAACAACAAACCCTCAGCAACGATTATAAAACACAACCGTCAAGGCTGTACAGTCTACTGTTTAGAGTCAGGTTATCCCACACTTCTAAATTGATCGTCCACTCCAACCACAACTCAAAGGTTAATTCATCAAGACAATCCAGCTGTGCATCCTCACATACTGGCTAGGGTTGGTATGGTTAAACATTATTAGCAACGCCTTAGGGTTGAAAAATTCAGCCGTAAGAATACACAAAACCGAAAAGTGAGTGAAGGCAGAAATTAAGGTCAGAAATCTGAGGGGGCAACCCTACCAAGTAGAATTAACTTTCCCTCTTAGGGACGGATAACTTAGCAATGCATATACCCAATACAATATGCAAAATACGCCAATTCCCAAAATTTGAGGATATAAGGTATATGTCTAATCATACACATAAAGATAATTGATTTGGTCGGTCAAAGGCAATGACACTGCTGATTTGGCAGTTGTTAGGGGGGGATTCTCAAACACGATAGATGAATCAACTTATCCTTCAACATGCTTCATTGCTCTTAGCTACAGTCCCTTTTCAGTAGCCGACAGTAACATATCTGAAGACAACGCCATTGATGAAGACACAGGTTGCTTCCTAGGATCTCATGTATCTTGCTTCATGGCTAAGGGCAAAACAGGGCTATGGGAATATGCAGCAAGATGAAGGTACATTTAATCAATTAAGGAATATGGAGGAAGGCATAGGATAATGGCACTTGGGGATTTCAGAGGAAGACGAGATGGATATAGCTGTGATAGGAATGCACCCACATATGCATCAGTATCAGACGCATAGCTTATTCTTGGCCATACCAGTGCTTCCTCGGTTAAAATTGATATTATTGACAGAGGCTTCTAACCAATAATCATGATAAATTCAATTTAAAAATCCATGCAGAGATATATTGATCATATTTCAGAGAAAGGCATTTATTGCAGGGGTTTCCCAATTAAATGAAAAGACATATCTGAGATTGACGATGACGATGATGATGATGATGATAAGTTCTTTAAAGCAAAAAATAATAATAAAATAAATAAGACTTTAATGCAGTCTCCTTAATGGTTTGAAAATATTTTAATTTTATCCGCTTTGATTCATTAAAGATTGATATAATTGTATTAACTTTTTACTTCAAGATACAAGGGATTTATGGAACGGAAACGGGGAATATAACGGACACATCTTAAATAGATATTATTAATAAAAATCACAGCTATTGGAATATGATACACCCCAATAAGTAAAACTCGGATCACATTGTACCTCCTCTGATCTTAAAACTAGGGAATAGACTGTGCTAGAAGGCCTTCAGCAACTCATATAATTTCAACATCATATATATTATAAAGTTTATTAGGAAGGAAACTTACCTCATCTACATCAGACGAGTCTGCTAGGAGACCTTCAGCAACTGATATAATTTCTTCTGAATGATTGGTAGGAATTCCTAGCTTCAACAAATCAAGATTGACATGTACAGGAAAATAGCCAATATCTATCAGGAGATTTACAGCCGAAGATGCAGTTTTTGTCAAACCCATTTCCTTAAGAATCTGGTAGGACAAGAAAATAAGAGTCATTAGAACAGAACAGTCAATACATATAGCAAAAAAATCAACAGTTAAGATGATGAAATTTATGATTCTAGACTATCATCCTGAAGACATCTTAGCCTGTCACTAAAAAAAAAAAAGCATCAATTATAATGTCAAATGTAAACAGATTAGGAGGTTTCGGTTGGAGTACCATCCCAGCTGTTTTTCTTTGTTCATCATTTTTACATGCATCAACAGCATATGCTTCTAATGACTCAATTCGACTCCAGATTTTCTCTTCACCCATCCATGAAGCTTTGGGAGGTTTATCATGTGAAGGCATTGATTTTGCCGAACAAAGCAATTTCACAAAATCCTGTAGTTCCTTCTCAGCCGCTTCCCTCGCTATCTTCCTGCGCATAAGCTCCTCAACCTTCCTTTACACAAATTAAACAAACAAAGAAACAATAGACACAATTATGTTTCCATGTAGACGTTCTTATTAAGCAAGTAAAGAAAGTATATAACCCTCATACAATCAAGAGCATTTTCTGGATTTTATACCAAAAAAAAAAAAAGACAGCATTTCATGGAATTTAAGTTCCGCAATGTCATAATCAGCACTTGAAGTGATGAACAAAGCACAAAGAAAGAAGATAATCTCCTCCAGCAAATAACTCTGGTGGCATCTCCCTAAGCATTTTTTATTGCAAGATTAATCAAAAACAATGTTTGGGAAATTTGTGCGCATTTTGATGCTGCATTGGTAGTATTTTACCAATTGTGATGAATTTTTACTGCTAATTAATAAAGCAACCGAGTAGTTAAAAGTCCTAAATATTATAGAAATTCATCGATCCATAGTGCTAGCTCACTTGAAATTGATAGGTAAACAACTCCCATAATAATGTAATATTTTTGTGCATTTTACATAATGGATATCCCATTTGCTTTATAAAGCTAATTGGAACCCGGAAGTAATATATCTACCTGTTCAGTTCGTCGCGGCCTGTAAATGGTACGAGAGCCTTTGGTCTCCTGCACTGTGAAGTATACTTCATCTTTTGAAAGCAACATGTGTGCAGAATAGCTCTCAAGAGGCTCAGCATTGCCAAAAATCATCTGCAGAACAAGCATATAATTTAGTGAGGATCTATGATGCATACTATGACATCCTTCCCAGAAATCATTCTACCTCGGCCAATTCTTCTGCTGTCACTGACTTGTTCTCCTCCAGAAGCTCAATCCAAGCAAATTCAAGTAGTGATGGATCCTGCATTACATCAGCAGGATTCTGCTTATCCACTGAAGCAAAAAATTAGAAATGAAATATCATCCACCATAATAATGTTAAACCCACCAAGTTGTCCTTAGCTTTCTGGAGAAAATCTGAAATATCTGCTTGCTCAAAGTTACTGATACCAGGCACAATATATGTCACTTGTTGTGGTTTAATTGAAGAAGTGGCACCATTCTACAGCCCAATAAAACCAAGGAACAGTTAGACAAAATAAAAACCTGATAATGTTTAGCATTTGAAAGAAGGAGTTCCAACACCTAGCAACCTATACAACATGCCGCATTATGTTGTTTCTACTTGAACCTGATCAGAAACCATCCAGTTCTTCTTGCCATCAGGCCTCTGAGCAACTGCTAGCAAGATTTTATCAGAATCCTTCTTGAATTCCAAAAGCAACCCTTTTTGCAATGAACGGCTCACAAGTCTATCTTCAAGAATTTCTTCACCCATCAGTGCCATGCTGTAAAGTCAACATATAAATTTAAGATGATGTTTGAAATGATGGCAGAACAAGGAATCTGATAATTCAGGTTGCCTGCATCAATTTACAAGCCTCCCTTTCCCGAAAAAATTTCAAATGTTATTATGAAAAAAATGTTAAGATTCTTATTCCCCATGGACTTTAAAATTGTTCAGAATCAATTTTTAGTTAAAAGAAATCCCTGAGAGGAAGTTGTTCAGAATAAAAGTACTTCCTATGAAATGAACAACAATATTTTGATAGAAATTTTCAGAAACTGATTCATGACAAGCATTATGACCAGGGAAAAAAATATTAACTGAATTTTAAAACTTGAATGATTGTCAATAGATAAAGTCTGATTGTGTGTTTTCCACGGACCTTCTGTTGAAATTTCTGAAGATAAAACTGACCATCAAATAAGCATGGGATTTCTGTCGAAGGTTCCGGATTCAAAACGAAGTCTAACCACATGTAACCGAGCCAGATGTTTACAGAATGCCACTCAATTGTATATCCGGGTACTATTTGTTCCAAACCACAAGATAATTCTTTGAAATCCTATCTATAACGCTTCAAGCAGGCAATTTTCAAATGAAGAGACCAAACATCTAGAAATATATTCAGAATCTCAATAGTACAGTACGAAAAAAAGAAATAAAAAGGAAATGCGTATATGTACACGGAACCGGAGGAAGCTCTCTTCCTGCTTTTGCGCATGACTTTAAGCTCTTCCATGACGCTCTCGACGAGACTTTGGAAGGTACAGCTTCGAACACCACCATAGTTGAAGAACTGAGATTGAAAGTGGAACAGCGGTGAACGCCGGGAACTCAGTTCACGGTAGCAACGAACCTGCAATGTCCTAAAATGGCAGCGGCAGCAGCATATGTGGAACGCCGAGAGAGGAGGGGATGAAGAGCGAAAAATATAGCTGCTATTAACTGCTCTAACCGCCATAGTAGCGTCTGATAGAGGACAAGTTTAGAGCTTCATGAGTTTCCAGACCGAACAGCGGATTGAGTGGAGCCTTGAGAGAAAAACGGCGATCTTCCAATTCCGATATTGCTTCACAAAGATATGGCTCCGACTCCACAGTCCAGAATAAGGACGAAAAGCTCTGCAATTACCAAAACACCCGCCATAAATAATGAGTTTTTTTTTAAGATCATTCTCTAATGAATCTCAAATTAATGTATTGCGCTGACAAGGATTAAAACTAATGTTTGTCCTTTCTTCAACATTAAACCTCATTTTTGTCATATTTCATTTTCTTTGCCAACGTATTTTTGCCATATTTCATATTCTAAATATAAGAAAAATATGTGAATTCACAAAATAACTTTATACTTAAATATCAATTCATCTCAAGATTATTTGGATTATATTTTGCTTTCATCATAAATATTTAATTTCGTGGAGCTAATCATAAATAGCATGGGACCATAGTTATATGAAGTTCAAAATGAATTGTATTATGTACAATTTGTAAATTACTATCAAAAATTTCTTATTGTTCCCTCAAGCTTTTTTCCCTGTAAGAAGGTTTTATTTTTTAAATTACAATATATGTATAATATATATATATATATTAATTGCCCTTGGTTGAATGTGCAGTAAAGCTCCTCTTTTTAAAGTTCAAAACAATCAGCGTGACGTGTTGTGTGAATATAACTAGTTTTTTCTCCCTCTAAATACATGGATTCTTTTATTGGAGACAATCCTATTCAATACAATATTGAATACTAAATGTGGATACCTCTCGACAAATATTTAAATTTTGATTCGTCACGTTATGAAAAATTAGCCTTTTTCACTAGATCTAACCTCTGTTAATGATATGAGTATAACTGGTTGTTTACTCATACTAAAATTCATTGTATATGGGTCGAAAATATGCGATGGTGGAGTACTTGATTTGAAAAATGAAATTGCCTCACTGTTTAGGCGTTATATTTGGGATGGAAGGATGTTAGGAACTTGATACAGATATGAGATATTGTCTTTGTAAAATAAGATAATAGTTAATTAGTTAATCACCCATTGGCTCTATATATACGGCATCTTAGCATGTAATTTAGGCGCGGAAGATAATTAAGCCCTTACTAAAGGGAAGAATTAACATAAATCCTCACCTCACACGTAAGTCTCGAGTTCGGGGTTGAGTTGATGAGTAAATACCATTACTTTTTAAACAGGGCATGTGCTAGTTTTTCAAAAGATTAGAGACAACTAAAAATTTATTCTAACGAGTGTTGATGATTGCATTTGTTGGTCACCATTTTTATTTCTTTTCCTTTTTTTGGTTGGGGGGAGGGGGGTTTCGTAATATCTAATAACAAATTCGAGTATAAATACAAGTAGCACCGAAGCTCTTTCCATTTTTCCATTTCCACCCTACTAAAGTTGCCCTCGTGATATAAATGAGATGATGTATAATTTTATATAAAATCAATCTATTTGCCTTACTCGAGGCTATGAAAAGTATGTCCCAAGGCAAAGGGCATCAACTATATAGAGCAGTGTTTCATAAGAGCCTCAAAACAATTAAAACATCACATATATATATATATGGACAAATGAATAAACAGCTCATAGCAACCCCTAATACCATCCCCTTCACTATCAAAATTCAAGTACAAAGCTGACTGCACAACTGCTTGATCTGTGAATCGGTTGGATCTTGAATCAAATATGTACTGGATTTCCCATTGCTTGAGCAAGTTATGTTCAGCTGACTGCCAAGTTGCGTTGTCTGCAAATTATAGCATTCCAGCAAGCGTTAATTCATGCATGCACAGATGAATACATCAAGAGTCCAAAAACAAAAAAAAAAGTATTTCTGAGGTCTTCAACTGTCAATAATATAATTTTACGATCCATACTATCTTTTGAAAAATTGGTTGTTGGTAGAAGTAGAACACAATAGTGTTATACGATTCACGTATCCAATCCAAAAGGGGTTCAAAGATGTATTGCAGGTGCTTAAATTAGAGAGAAATATTGTTTTGTGATTTTATGACCTGATAGGGTTATTCAATCAAGAGTAGTTCAGGTAAAATGTTATAATATTTACCAAGCAAGATGCAGGTTCGTTGTTGCATTTCCATCTTGAAGTTGGAACACAAGATAGATAATGGCACCAAGAACAATGATCATTGGCATCAACACCACGAAGAAGCGCAATAAGGCCAACAGTAATTCTGTCAAATTGACAATATAATATTAGCTCAATCTCTGAAACAGAACAAAAATGTAAAATGGCGGGGGCGAGAAAATCAAGGATACAGTAAGATGGGGCAACTAGGGAAACATACAATATCATCAAGAGCAGGAACAATGTTTCTGTCACTACGATGACTAACTTCTTATTTGGTTCGAAGGATCAGATCGAGAAGTTAGTTGCCATATTTGGTTTGAAGGATCAAATTGGGAAGTTAGTTGCCATGATTTTAACAGAGAATTAAAAGTGATTTTGGGCCAAAAAAAAAGAACTGAAAGTGACTGGAAAACACTATTGAGGAATTAAATTGAAAAGATTACACTTCAGAGAACCAAATTAAAATGCTCCTCTTCTGTCAGGATGAAAACAGTATTTTATTTTATTCTATATTATGTTATGACATCGAGCAATTAACTTGGCTTCTTAAGCTATATACATTAAGTCTGCTCCACTCCGATCACCTAACTGAAACACTGGTCTCATGCTATATGTCAATAGGGTTAAGCCTTAAGACGTTTCTCCTTCTATATATAGGCTTGTTAGCGCAATATGATGTTAGAAAGAACAACACTTGAGAGACTTACCCAGCAACAACAAGGATCAGAGAGAGGATCCATAAGATGCACTGGTATTTTTTGAATCTAGATCTAGCTGAGGCAGAAGAGTAATCCGGAGGAGCATATCTTCGGTTAACCCAGCTAAACTGAGGACGGATCAGAAACACAAATCCAAGAAGAAATCCTGTAATAAATCCTCCAATATGAGCAAAATTGTCCACATGTGGGAGGATCCCTACAGCTAGATTGACTGCAACGATAATCACAAGAGTGAAGAGTGCTCCAAACTGCACATATCAGAAAATTATATCATAACAAGTTGGATATAAGGGCCGAAATTTTCCTTTTCAGGAGATCACATTTCAAATAGGAGAAATTTTATGATCACCTTATTATCATACATAGACCAATTAGTAATGAGTTCAGAAAGCATGGCTCCCAGCAATCCAAAAAGAGCCCCAGAGGCACCAACTGAGATGTTCGACTGAATGAATAGAGCAGAAAGCAAACTTCCCCCAAATCCAGAAATCACAAATAGCAATCCAATGCGCACTGTAATACAACAATATGCGAAACAGGAAACCAGTTAGCGCTAAATAGTGCAAGTGATAACATAGATACAGAAAGCCATCTCTACTACAAGAGAAACTCAAAATGAAGTATCTTTAGTATCACTTTGTTATAGTTATGATATTATAAACAGCACCAACCATAGCACCATTCAAGCATCTGATTCTGTAAATAGTCTTATGTTATTTTTTTTCCTTCAAATTTGAGAAAAAGTGGATAACAGTAAGCATGTAATCAAATAGTAAACAAGTAATTTGTACATTACATTACTTTTATGATAACTGATCAGTCATAGAACTGATTTTGTGAGGATGGGATTCATGGATTCAAAGGAAGATTTTGTTAAATGAAAAGAAGAAAAAAATGATCATCCTGTATAATGGGGTAAAATTGATTTTGAGTGACACGGGTATAAATGGATTCCTCCTCCATATATAAAATTGTTGTTTTATGTCTAGATGCTACCATGCCCTGATGTTCGCCAACTATGGGTTAGGAGAAGGAAATCGACCTCGGGGTCTTAACTCTCAAAGAAACATAATCCAAAGAATTGCAAGGCGCAAGGAGAAAATAAAAAATGTTAATTTGAGATGCAAAATACATACAGAATCCAAATTCTTGCTCAAGCCGGATCCCGATGATGAGAATACCCAACATATTTGCCAATATATGGAAGACACCAGCATGTAACCACATGCAAGTGAGAAGGCGCCAGCCCTGGTGCCTGTGAACCACCCTACCGACATCAAGAGCTCCCATCTTCTGTAGCCTGAGCAATAAATAGATATCACCTCTTCAATTGCAGTTACAGCCATGGATTTCATTCCAAAACAAAAATTCAGAACAGCTACAATTTTAAAATTCAGTCCCACATATGAAAACTATCAATTATAATACAGCTACTCACGTATATGGACTTAAACATTGTGAGTTGAAATACAATTCTAACGAAATATAAGAGTAACATCTTAATGATCTAGAGGAACAAGGACAACTCACGTTAATGAAGAAGGCCCGAGAAGCGGGTTCTCTTTCAGCGGCTGAAAAGAGAAACGACCGAGGAAGCGGGCAACGCAAGAGACAGAGTTTTTGGGGCAATTGTTGACGTACATGGTAATCACAAACACAACGATGTTGGCAATCACAATGAAAGGAATTAGCCAGGGAAACCATCTCTTAAAATGCTTTACTTCGGTGTATTCTACTGGCGTTGTACTTGTTGAATAGGGCAGAGCCGTGCCTGCCTCCTCTGGGTGGATCACATGGTTGTTCTTCCGAGAATTAATCCTCAGGTGGATCTCCGACGGTGGAGGTGGCTCTGCCGCCATGGACAATGAACTCGGTGAGGCTAAAAGAAGACGAGAAACTTCAAATGGTGAGGTATGCTGATGCAAAATCTGATCAATTTCAGAAGAAAGCTAAAGTTTGAAACTGGGGCTGCCACCGGCGATGATTAAAGACAGAGTCAGAAAAGGATTGTGATTAGTCAAAAAAATTCACAATCAAGAGCTTTGCTTTTTCCACCGAACGCTATTTGTATATGCTCCTTTTAAAATCAATCAATCAATTCTTGTTATTTAATTACGAGTATTTAATAAAAGTGGACGCGTTCGCCTCGGTGGTTCATTTGTTCAAGGAACTGAAAAGAACAAGCTTTTCACACATATCCCGTTATTTTCATGGCAAAACTATTGTAGTTAAATTAAGATTTAAAAAGTGTTTAGATGAGATGAAAAATACCGTTAAAAAGTATTTTTATAGATATCGAGAAAATTTTTTTCACATATTTATATCATAAAATTACTTTTAAAATTATGATTTGATTTTATCTAATTATTTTCTCAAATTATTTTTACAAAGACAAGTTTTGTTTCGTGCTCTTGGCCACCAATATTTGACTTTTGTTCATCTTTGTTGTAACATATTGTCCGTGTTGGTGTCCTAAATATATAATTATTAATATGCGTGAATATGTGTGTGGCATATTTAATAATATATTATGTGATGGCAAAAATTTTAAACAAATTTGGAGGGTGAAAAAAAGAAATTTCACCAAAAATTAATTAAATATATTAAATTATATGCTAAAGACCATTGGGTGCAGTGAGACTAGCTCCCAGAGAGGTCACAAAATCAAACTGTGCGGAGTGTGTTTGTGTGGTGATATGTATTGTATGCTTTTCATTTGACCCTTATATGAAAAAAAAAAAAATCTAAATACTATCTTTAGGTTTTATTATAAGAGTTAAATAATTAATTTGATGATATTAAAAAAATTAACTGAATTAGTTATGTATCACAAATATATGTTAGTCTTCTTAAACTATCTTTTTTAATTATATGCATTTAAAATTATCTATTTGGTAGAAATCCCTTATAGTCAATATGAATATATTAGATAAAAACAAGAAATAGAATAAATCTAATTTTTAACTCGCTTTTATATTAAATAGCGGGACTAGTATTTGTGTTCCATTTGCCTATCCCTATTCCACAGATTGTACTGTTGTTACAAATGGACCTGATCTGTTTGTTTCATGTAGCTTTCATGATTATGATTTATGATTTATGATTAGGTGGAGCCAGCAAGCATTTTTTTTGTTGCCGAAAAAAAGCAAGTGTTTTTTCTGTTTAATTGGTTTTGACTGAATCAATCAATCAACAAAATTTAAGAATAGTAGGAGATAAAATTATTTCTTAAATTAAAGTTATATCAAATTAAAATTTAGAATTAAATTTAAATTGAATTAAAATTATAGAGATTGAGTTGGATCAAATTAGAATTTAGGAATTAAATTTTAATTAAATCAAACTATAAAAATTAAATGATTAATTTTTTATTTTAAAAAAAAAAAAGCAAATAGATACTAAAGTAATCATGTTTGGCAGTATGGATCTGTTATCTTGATTGGTTGTTTAAATCTAGGTGATGCAGAGCAACGAATTCGTTAGTGTAAGATCTTTAGTTATTAATTATTAGATCTAATTTGTAATGTAAATTATAATAAAAACTAAATTTTATATTTAGAAATAGAGGTAGTAATTAACTAAAATTATGACTTTTTTCTTTGTTGAATCCTAACTATTCTAAAGATAACAAACCAACGCAATTGACTCTCACACTAATACTACCTCTTGTTCTAAATATAAGACATTTTTTATAATCTATAAACAATATCTTATAATTAGGACCAGAAGTAATATATGGTATATCAATATATTAATATATTAATACCAAATGAGTGATCGAGTTTTTATTCAGTCTAGCAGAACTCATTAAAATTTAGGCTTCATATCATGTAGGACTGATGTTTATACTTTTAATGAATTTTAGTTTTCATTTATTTAAACTCATATTAAGTCCTCATAAAACTATAGAATTGAAACCAGAATTTGATCAAACTTTAATGACGAATAATGATATTAACTTTAAAAATATAAGACTAGAGGAATTTTTTTATTTGTTTCGCTCGATAGAAATTTGAACAAAATGCACAGCTTATTATTCTCAGTTTACGCACAGGCATCTAAATTGTGATGCCTAATATTCCATAATCAGTACAAGTGTTAGTTCCTTATTACCATCTTTCGTAATTCAGTTCAATTTATCTCATAAATTTGTAATTTATTTTTTAAAATATATATCAAGGAATTTCCATTTAAGGATGATAATGTTTTTAAAAAAAATTTAGAAAAATTAACTCTTATTACAAATGACTAACTTAACTAATTTTTTAATTTATTTAAATTAGTTAAGTACTTTTTAGTCTCTTTCTAAGACATATTCCTTCAGTTCTAAATATAAAACCTTTATACATATTAGAATAAGGGTCTTATATTTAGAATCGGAGGAGTACAACAATTTCAATAAGCATTAAATGTTTTCTCATATATGCCCATATTAAAAATCACTTAAACTTCATGACAAATTTAATGATTTTAACTGTTTTTATTGGTATGTGTGAATTAGTTAATAGTCTCTTACAATAAAAACTAAAGAGAATAATTTTATATTAAGATCAGGTTTAGTAACTTAATTAAATAATGTATATCAAACATGCAGAATAAATAACTCTCTTCCCGAGTAACTTTCGAAGCCTCATTGACCTATGGGAAACTTGATTTTAATTAGTACTCCCTCCGTTCTTTATTATAAGAGACGAATAACCGAATTACGTTGATCAAAAAAACAGTTAAAATTAGTTAAGAACAATTAATGTGTAAAAAGTATAATTTTTTTTTTCAAAAATACCCTCATTAATAAGGAGAGAGAACATGAGAGAGAACAATGGTAAATTATTAAAAGAAATAGAAGTGGGAAGGAGAGAGAGTGTGAGTTGGAGACAATAAATATGGGTAAAATAGGAAATCAACACAAAAAATTAGAGACAACTTTTAAGTGTCTCTTATATATAGGAACATGCCATAAGCATCAAATGTCTCTTATAATAAGGAACGGAGGGAGTATATAATATTTTTATTTGAAATGAATTAGACAAGCATGTTTACCTAAAAGCTGGAACGCTAGGGCGATTGGTTTAGGTATGGGTTGATAAACCCAGTCGTATTTAACAATGTTGAATGTCTCATGGATTGAGTCTTTTTTTCATTAATTATATTTCTAAAAGGTGTATACTTAATTTTGATAATTCAAATAGAAGTAGGTAAAATGATGAAGTCATAAAAAGAAGAAGAAGGAAAAATAGTAAAAAATGACCGGTAAAATAGAAAAATTATAAATAGAGATATATAATAACATTAGTATAGGTTTTGACAATAATAACGTAGGTTTAATAATAATTTTTATGAACGGGTCTTTGTGTATAATTTTTTCATTTGGGCATTTTTTTTTGCGATTTTCCTTAAAAAGAAACCATGTGTATAATAGTTTCTAGTTTCCTAAGCTACTTAAATTTATTTGAGTAAATTAAAAAGTTAACAAATTACTTAATTCAGATAAAAATGACTTAATTTTAACGCAATATGTTTATATAATAGTATTAGATTATATATATGTTTATTAGTTAAATAAATTAGTGTGAAACAAGTTATAAATAGGGAGAATTGCAATGAAATCTCAATAAAAAAATTATAATTACTATAACATTTCAATAACAACTAAGTAGCTTATAATAACAAGTTTCACATTAGGGACAACTACTCATTTATTATTGAGACTTTTTGGTAGTTATTTTCTTTTCATGGGATTCTATTACAATTCTTTCTTATAAATATGAAAAAAATAAACTAAAATTTTATATAATGACTAACATCTATCACAGTGGGAGTACTGTAGTTCACCAAACATTTTCATTGAATATGATTTTTATATTTTTGTTGACATTAATCACATTATACATATGGCGGGGGCAGAAATATAAAACTGGACGGCGGCCATCACCTAAAAACGCGCATTAAACGATAAATTATGGCACTTTACGATGTAAAAACATTGCGTGGGTCCAGAAGATTGTTTCTTGTTCCTTGGTATAATTGTATTTTTATTTAAAAAAGAACCCATAGAAATTCCACGACATCATTATACTCCGTTAATAACTAAATATTTAAATAGATTATTAATTAAAAGGTCTCGTTTTTGATAATTTCATTGATTTTTTTTTGGTCTTCCTCCTCCTTTTTAGAATATTTGTCTGATGTATTCTTTCATCTGCGCATTCAATTATCTTCTCAGTACATATCCAAACCATATTTATTTGTTTAATATTGATAAAATTATTAAGGCTCGGAAATGAACATATGCTTTTTAAATATTCCTTCGATCATTAATATAAGACCCATTTAATTAATTTGATTAGATTAAAGAAGTTAGGTAAGTTAGTTAATTATAAGAAATGTGACGCATTTTTCCTAAAACATCATAATCATCTTTCTTAATACCACATCTCCCTCTTCTATTTGATTATGGTTGAGGGACTATCCATAGGGGTAATTTAGAGAAAATTGATAAATATAAGAAATGAGTCTTATATTTAGGACCAAAACCAACTCAACAATTGGATCCTATATTAAGGACCGGAGGAATACAAATTATACATATGACTTGTTATTTAAAACCAACAATTTTACCAACAAGCTATTGATTGAGATGATAGTGATCTCATTCCAGAAATAAGAGAACACAAGTTCAAAACCAGATATTCCGATTTTTAATCACGTAGTGCAACTTTCTTGAACTAAATGTGAATCAAACGAGAGAAAACATGGTGATGAGCTCAAAGTGATAAAGACTTTTACTACCGAAGGAAGAACAAAATCTCCAATTGGAATCAGCGGTGGCTTTGAGATCAAAACAAACTTTATTTGATAAAATACAGCATAAATGGTGAGCTTACGCGCATTTGGCTCCTCCTTATGTCAAATGAAAATGACGTTTTCTTTGACTTCTAGAGGAAAATCGACATTCGATTCAATTTCTACGCCAACGCCGCTTCAATTAATGTTCCTTGTCAACGCCGTACCTGCAACATATAGAATTTTGGGTAAAAGTCACATTC